AATAAAATTTCATATACACGTAATCAAAGAACTAAACCCTATAAAATCTCTATATTCTAGAGAAATTGAGACATCAAATATGTCAGAAATCCTTGATCTTCATCATAGATCTGTGTTGGATGCATCTATGAATTAAAAAAGAATCATATTTCATAATATATCTTGGAATATGTGGTTAACCCCAACAAAAAGATCGAGTTTTCCAATAAATGATATTTACTAAAGTTTAAGCTCTTTCATGTTAACTAAGAAATACTTAATCACATTATATATTTATATTAATGTATTTTAAAATTATTTTTATGATACACGGACATCGTTTCTAATATTTTAATGAGTAATTTTATGTTATATTTACTAAAGTTTAGCCTCATTAATATATTTTTTTTAAATAACTAACCACACTCTAATGCATATTGATGTATGCTAAGCATATTTTTATGGTACATGGACGTCATTTCAATTTTCCAATGAATAATTTTCTTAAAATTCATATACGATCTAATTAGTGTACTAACCCCTATAAAATCTCTATTTTCTAAAGAAATAAGAACACCTAAGGTCTTAAACATCTTTAATCTTCATAATATGCCAGTGCATAATACATCTCTGCATTAGAATAAAATTCAGTATTTTCTAGTTTATCTTGAAATATGTGGGTTAACCCCTACGAAAAGATTAAGTTTTTTATAAATAGTATCTATACTATCTAGCCTCGCTAGAGTTGTTTAAAAAAAAAGTAACCACACACTAAATTTATATATATATATATGGTAAAATTATTTTCATGCTACATGACCATTATTTCTATTTTTTCTAATGAGTAATTTATTTAAACTTCAGATACCACATAATAACTAATAAGTGGACTAATCCTTATAAAAACTATATTTTCTTGAGAAACAGGAACACCTAAGTTTTTAACCTTCTTTATTCTCCAAACTACGCATGTTCATGATACAGAAATTCATTAAAAAAATACCATATTTTCTAGTTTATCTGAAATATGTAGGTTAACTCATACAAAAGATCGAGTTTTCCGATAAATAATATTTACTGAAGTTTAAACCCTTTCATGTTAACTAAAAAATACCTAATCACATTATAAATTATATTAATGTACGTTAAACTTATTTTCATGGTAAATGAGCATCGTTTTTAATATTTTAATGAGTATTTTAATAAAACTACATATTCCACCTAATTTAATGGACTAACCATTATAAAATCTATAATTTCTGGAGAAATGAGAAAAAAATAAGGTCTTAGAGACCTCTTTAATTTTCATCACATGTCATTACATAATGAAGTTATGCATTGAAAAAATACCATATTTTCTAATTTATCTTACGAAAAGATAGAGTTTTTTCCAATAAATGTTATATATAGTAAAATTTAGCCTCATTAATATTTTTTTAAAAAATACCTAACCACACTCTAATGCATATTAATGTATGATAAACATATTTACATGCTAAATTAGCATCTTTTCTAATTTTCTAACGAATAAGTGTTTTAAACTTTATATATGATCTAATTAGTGTATTAACCCCTATAAAATCTCTATTTTCTAGAGATATGAGAATAGTTAAGTTCTCAAACATCATTAATCTTCATAGTATATCAGTGCATGATGCATCTATGCATTAAAACAAAAATTCAATATTTTCTAATTTATCTTGAAATATGTGGGTTCCCTACGAAAATATTGAATTTTTGATAAATATTTTCCATACTATTTAGCCTCTTTAATATTTTTTTTCAAAATACATAACCACACTCCAAATTAAAAATATATCTAATAACTTTTCACATAATTAACTATGACTTTTCACCAACAAAATTATAATTGTCACAAACTGTTTTAGAGTAATTAGACTGCATGCATGCAAAATATTTTTCATTCCTCATAATGTTAAAATGCATGCACATGTGAACAAAAACAAATTCCACAAATCGCATTCATGTATTTCAATGTATAACATTTTTGTGAATTTTATGTGTAAGGTTAATCAATCGTTCATGTATTATTATCACCAAAATTCGAGAACAAAAGAAAATCAAATTTCAAGCATTTATACAACAATTTCACTTGTTTGTTTATGTGTGAAAGTTTACAGAACCTCAAACTAACAACAAACAATATTTTCATATTTAGAAAAAAAAATATCCAGAAACTTAAATGTCATACTGCAAAACTTCCATATGCCGTGCTTATATACATGGTTATGAAAATACACTTAAACAGATGTATTTTGTTTAAGCAACATGATTCTTTACTTTCTAATCCAAGATCATAATTCTTAAATATATGTAAATCATCCATTCATGCATAAAACCTTAATTATGACGACCGGAAACTTGTATCATGAATAGTCACTATAACGGATGTAACCTAAGTGTCGCTATCAAAATTTCTTATATAATCTAAGTGTATAAAATTATAGGACATGAACTATGTATTCATAAAACAAAGATAGTCAGAAATATAGTTTCGTTAGAAATAATTTTTATTCTTCAATATTTTTTTAGATTAGTGAAATATATACTTGAAATAAATCATGGAAATATACTGTTTAGATTTTGAAAGTTCTATATAAACAAGTTAAAGTTAATTATTTTAATGAATTTTCATAACTTTCAAATTATTGGTAGTGAATAATCACAATTTTTTTAAGTTAATGTTAATTATTTTTATGTATACTCACAACTTTCAAATTAAAAATAGTGAATATTCGTAACTTTTCAAATTAAAATTAGTTATTGTTATGAATAGTCACAACTATGTAGTAATAAGTAATTATTTTAAATGATACATTTACATTATATATTTGAATAGACTCGTCATTTCAAAAAAAAACTTATTATATAAAGATTAACTAGTTTTAAAAGTAACTAAAATTTATATAGACCCACTATTAAAAAAACAGTTTCATTACAGAAAGAAATTTTAGATACTTTTAAATTTTAATTTTTCTTTGTAATAGAAAGACATAACATTTCACTTAGATGGAATTCATATATCAGTTTATATACTTAACTTTGGGGGTTCAACAAACTTAATTTACCAATTATGCTAGTGATTTTCATCTGTTTTAAGATACAATTTGACACCATATTCAATAACGTGGATCCATCACTGTTTATTAGGGGTGGGCATTTTGGTTTTATTACGGGTTCGGTTTGGTTTGGGTTATTTAGGTATAAGAAAACTCTAACCAAAGTCAACTCATATTAGTTTCTTTATGTTCGGTTTGGTATGTGTTTGATTCAGTTTAATATGGTTTTGTTTGTATTTTTCAATTCAATCGAGCTGAATTTTTAGTTTTGTTCTAGTTCAATTTAAAAAATATAATTTATAAAAATATTAACACATCATCAATTGACACTAAATCATTCTTTTATCCATATTTAAACATAAAATCAAACATCATAATAAATATTTAGAAGATGTAATCCAATAATTTTATATTATTATGTTCAAACTTAATATAAAATCATAAAAGTATTTGGTTTTGATGTTAATGTATAGATTCATATTTTTAATTTTGTTTATTCTATTCATTTAAAAGTAAAATGTATAAAATTATTATTTATTTAGGTTAAATTTTTAAATATATTAAAACTAATATTATTACGATATCTAATTAATCTAACTATAAAAACACTTTGGTTTTTCGGTTTGGTTCGGTTTAAAACCAAACCATTCGGGTTGATAAATTTTTGAACTAAATGGTTTATACATATACTTTGGTTCAGTTTGGATCGATTTGTTTGGTTCGGATGTTTTGTCCACCCCTACAGTGCTTATATAGGATAAAATAATCGTGATGTGACGCCTTTTGTCAAAAAATAATCTTGCCGTTTATGGAAAACAACTAAATGATCAGAAGAGGCTAAATAGACATCCACATGATGTGAACATGGAGCACAAAGGAAACGAGCAATCATTTTATTGTAGTTTTTTTTATACAACAATGACGGAATTGAATCGAGGACCATGACTTATCTTAGATCTATTAATTCTAATAATTTTTCAAACCACCAATAGGAAGACGTGCGGGGATGAAGTTGCGTAGCCAGGTAATACAAAATAAAAAATATCAAAATAGAATAATGTCAAATTGCTTGTTTAGCATTAAGGATGTGGATAAGAGAAAGCAACATCCGAGCTTCTTATTCACAATAGACGAAATTATCAAAATTAATTACAAGTTAAAAGAATTTTATTTGGATATGACACTTTATTGTCGAATTATATCTCTTGTTTATGCATTATCTAAGTACAACAAGTACAATCAAACTCATGTAGGCATGCAATGAAATGAAGATTAAGAAAGGGTGGTATTACCACTTGCAATATGACACACGCACATCTTATATAATCACTCAATAAAGAGATAAAAGTTATTGAGGAAAAGGAAGAACACAATCTTGCTTGTTACAATTGTACTCTTTTTTGTGTTACCACTTGTTACAGTTGTACTCCCAATAGTATTCAAAGGTGTTATTGAAGTTAGAAAAATATAATTTAACAAAATTTATAGTGTTTTATCTCAATTTCTGTTATTTCTTACATTTTGTTTTTAACTGTAATTCTTACATTTTGGGTAAAATTTATACATGTATGTATATAATCCCCCCCCCCCCACTATTAATCATATATAAGTAATAATAATGATATTCTAACCATATTAATAATAACCTCAGTATTCTAATCTAATTCCGCAAATGCTCCTACAATTTCGGAAAAGCATTCTCATTAAAAACTTCGAGTGTGTTATCTTTATATGTTACACTAATCCAAACAACCAGAACTTCGTTATATAGATTGATCAACAATTTTGTTGGACTGTAAGTCAAGTCATCCTCGTGTTTAACTTTTTATATAAAATGTGTATACAGTAAACAATGAGGTCAATGCATCTAAAGTCTATATAAGAGAAAAAGCATAGTTCTCAGATTATCTATCATTCTTGTTCTTCCTTCTTATTATTCTTGATCTTTGAGCTCTCTTCAATTCTAGTATTTCAGTCTTTGAGCTAAGAAAATGGAGGGAGAGAATAGCAGTATTGAGAAAGGATTATTACACGTAAATAAAGAAGAAACATCTGGAAATACAACTCCATTTCTTATTTTTACCACTTTCATTATTGTCTCTGCTTCCTTCAACTTTGGAATTGCAGTATGTTTCCATCTCTTTCTCTATCTATGTATACACCTTTTTCTCAATCTTTTTTTTTTTGTTTTTGGCAAATCTTTTTTTCTCTATACACACGCACTAAAGTTAAGAGTACACTAGCTTCTCGAAACAAAATATGTGATGGAGCATATTTGAAGAATTCTCATTTTTTATGTTTCAAAATTCGTATATAATAGTGGTTTATGTAGTAAATATTTGACACAGCAATTAAAAATTAATCTATTGGTCATTTGCATGTCAATTGATAAGAAGAGTCTTTTCGATATTTCAGATTAATGAATTGATTTTTCTTTAGTGTGGGTGTAACAACATTTGATACATCGACAAAAGCGACTGGAAAAATTACCATGCATGTTTAGTTTATATAAATCGATATTCATGTATTTCAATTATTTTTATGGGAATCAGTTAGGTTATACTGCCGGTACAATGTCATCTATTATGGAAGATCTTGACCTTTCCATCGCACAAGTAAGCCACCATTAATTAGTTTCACTCATTTCATTTTATATGTTCACAACTATTTCAAGTAAAATTCAACAAAATAAATTCTTAGATAATATCTAATTGATGTTATAATTAAAATATATTTCACAGTTTTCAGTATTTGGTTCGCTATTGACTTTTGGAGGAATGATCGGTGCTATATTTAGCGCCAAAAGTGCAGATGCATTCGGCCGTAAGATGGTTAGAAAACATTTTTCTTAAGAAAAAAAAATCCAACCCCATACTGATATGTGCACATACGAGTGCAATTGTAAACCTCTCAAACCTTTTATTTTATTATTTGCTAGACTTTGTGGCTTGCCGAAGGATTCTGCATTTGTGGATGGCTTGCGATTGCACTAGCCGAGGTTTCTTCACAAGTTTCATCTAATTATATATTCATATCCTCACTTCACAAGCTTGCCCTCTAATCTCGTGATTATAATTTGTTTTCCTGTAGAATATTATTTGGCTAGATTTGGGACGATTCTTTGTGGGAATTGGAGTTGGTCTCATTAGCTATGTGGTAAAAAAAAACTGAATTATTACCCAAAAAAGGAAAAGCACATATAAACTTGTAACAAGCCTTGTTCTTTTAGATTCCTGTATACATCGCAGAAATAACCCCCAAAAACGTGCGAGGCACTTTTACATTTAGCAATCAGGTAATGTAAAAATATATATATTTATATATAATTAGTTTTAAATATATATTCGTGTACGTTTAGCTAATCATTTTAAAAGTTATCTTTTACAGTTGTTGCAGAATTGTGGGCTGGCAACCGTATATTACCTTGGAAATTTCATGTCATGGAGAACAATAGCCCTTATCGGTGATTTTGCTTACTATTATTATTTATTTGGCTCAATCTTTCCATATGACATATTGACCATTAAGTTTAATTTATTATATAAAACTATCTAACTAATTAGACTTTAACATCTTCAGGAATTATTCCATGCTTGATACAGTTCTTTGGATTGTTTTTGATCCCTGAATCTCCCAGATGGCTGGTTAGTCATATGTTTTTTTTTTAAGTCATGTGTTTCATATAATACATTTCTATAAGTTTATTTAGTTTGTTTTATTCTGAAGTTGACAAGAAAAAATACCACTGTGATTTTTGTTAGGCAAGAGAAGGCCGCGACGAAGAATGTAAAGTTGTTCTTCAGAAATTAAGAGGAAAAGAAGCTGATGTTATGAAGGAAACTCGTGAAATCATGGTACATTATAGAGATTAGTTATTAACATTACGCTCAGTTTTGGCTAATTAAACTTAACTATCATTATTTTCATTATTATTATTATTATTATTATTATTATTATTATTATTATTATTATTATTATTATTATTATTATTATTATTATTATTATTATTATTATTTTGTAGAAACAATTCTATATAAGAGAAGTGTATATCTTGCGCTCTAGAAATATATCAATCATTTTACTACTTAAATACAATTCATATTATATTTATATAAATTTTGTAGATTTGTGTTGATGCTACCGCAAATGTCAGCATGAGAAGTCTTTTCAAAAAGAAATATACTCGTCAAATTACAGTAAGAAAAAGAGTTTCATTCACTAGCAAAAAAAAATATTATTACAAACGAAATTTGATAAAATATAATTAACTAAATTTATATTTGTTTATGGTTAATTATGTTTAGATCGGTGTAGGCTTAATGCTTCTGCAACAATTGTCTGGAAGTGCAGGAATATCTTATTACGCAGGCAGCATATTTGAACTCGCCGGTAAGCTTTTATTAATTAATATCATTGATATTAAATGATTATTACATCATTCCATCATTTGTTGTTATAAATTATGAAATTAATGTTTTGAACTCTTAAGGGTTTCCTTCGCGGATTGGAATGACAGTGTTGTCTATGGTCGTGGTACGTAAATGTAAAATATGCATGTAAACTGCCTATTTAATTTTCTCTTATTTTATACTTCCACCCTTGAACTCCTTGGTCCTTCAATAATTGTACATCATTCCTGTAACCAATTGCCTATAATGACTTATCAATAATGTACCAAAATAGGTACCAAAAGCTATATTGGGTCTGATACTTGTGGAACGATGGGGAAGACGACCACTTCTGATGGTTAGAATGTTTCTAAAGAATTGTACTTACCTTGTTAGTAGATTAACTTGTTTTATAAAACACATATATATAAGTTAATGTACGAAATTGCAGGCATCAGCATTAGGGCTATGTTTAAGTTGTATCATTCTTGCATTATCGTTTGGATTGAAAGGTCTCCCTGGGATTATAAATTTTACTCCCACCATGGCATTCATAGGAGTATTGGTAAATGATGTCCAATTCATAAATTCAAATAATAATAAAATATATATGTATACTATATTACTATTTTTTTGTTTAGTTAGAATTTGAAATTTTTTTGTTTGGTTGTATCCACGTATCCAAACAGACATTCAACATGATGTTCGCAGCTGGACTAGGAGCACTACCATGGATTATAATGTCTGAGGTATACTCACATATATTTACAATATTTTTCTACATGTTTAAAAAAAAAAAAAAATTCTCATCAACATTGATGTAATTGTTTTTATATAGATATTTCCGATGGACATGAAAGTAGTAGCTGGGAGTTTAGTAACCATCACCAATTGGTTTACTGGTTGGATTGTCAGCTACTGTTTCAATTTTATGCTTCTTTGGAGTCAATCTGGTACTTATTTCCGGAACTATCTTGAGTTATTTTAGATAAATGTATGGTTCTTATATAGTTATGGAATGCAAGATTCAGATAACGACTTATGGTTTTAAATTAATGTTGAAAATTTTAATTGCAGGTACTTTTAGTATATTCGCCATGATATGTGGAGTTACAATCATATTCGCATGGTGTTTGGTGCCTGAAACTCGAGGATTAACGTTAGAAGAAATTCAACTTCCACGTGCTGATATTTTGAGTTGATCCTAAATGTGAAAGTAAAACCGATACAAATCAATTTCTAAATTTACTGTATAACTATATGATCGATTTAGAATAATATACTGTAATCCTTCTAAATATTGTGGCTTTTCAATCTGCTTCTTCCTAATTTCATTTTCGCTTGGTTTAGAGCATGACTAATGGAGTCTCTTATGATCATAAGATTATAATATAATTTTTAGTGTAATATAAGATACGTTTATTAGTTTTTAACTAAAAAACATCTATTAAATGAGAGGTATAAGAGACATTTCTTAACCAAAAAGTATCAAATCATATTTTAAGAATCTCAATGGATCTTTTCCATTAATCATGCTCTTATAGTGTCATTTCATTTCTGCTAGTGTTCAGCTTCATATGACGCTGGTAATTTTAGCATACATATTAATTTTTGTACGAGTTTTTAAGCGACCTTCATAGACTGGTAAAAGATAACATTTCTCTTAATATATGCTTTAAATATTGCAACCTTGTAGATAAGAATAGCGTTGGTCAGTCGTTTTATGTGTGCATCATCCATGTTATAGTTAATTTCTAAACCTGCTGGCTGCTATCAGGAAAGCAACAAATTTTTATTTATAAACCTGCTATAGGCTTGACACGATGGTATGCACAAATACGACTGTAATAGATTTCACGTATAAAAGATGGGGTGAAGTTTAAAATTGTATAGTTAATTTCCGGTAGAAAAGTAAGCCTATTGAAATTTCACCCCTTAACATATAATCTCCTCTAACCATTTGACAAATCCTATGAAACTAAATAAATCATGCAACTATGATAATGCATTAATTAATGGATAAGAAGAATAATGCAGCAACGTAACAGGGCTCATCTCAGAGGAATGTGACAACAATAGTTTGGGCTTTAGAGTGAGATCGAATCCGACTTGGATTTTGCATTCTTTTTATGCTTTTCCATCATTCACCTGGTCAAAACAATCATGCTTGCTACGAATCCCCACCGAAACTGTTCGGTTCTGGTCATTATTAGATTGCTGTGAAAGTAGGAGCCAAACCAACCAAAACCGTCTTACCAGAAAAGGTAAAATAATAATGAATTGATGTGATATTAGGTAAAATTCAAGCATACACGTTTCTTGTAAAATAATGATTTAATCGTGATATACTATTGCGTCTTGGTTCAATGAATGAGACAGATAAGCCTTTGCACATTTCGAGAAGGAGATCCAACTACTGGTCTTTGTCAGTGGACTCCACATTTTAATTGTGCAATATTTTTTTTTCTACATATAGCTGATATTCGTTACCATGAAAAGTCTCTAAATTTTATTCGATTGATCAAAATATCACTAGGCGTACTGTTTTCAAATAAATCATTCATCATGAGGTTACTCTAAGTTATGCACGATTAACTTTGTAATTTATCAACCGAGAAGTCAAATACATTTTTGTGACTAGAATCCTTCAGCTAATAGCTGTGATTTGTCAATAAAAAATATATCTGCATGATGATTTCAAAAATTGACTCTTTGTAAAACAGAAGTGTTTGAATAAAAAATTACGGATAAATTGTTAAAGAATAATTAACCCAGAATTTTTATGATAGGGTTCTTAGTGGAAATTAAAAAAATAAAAATTTAAAAAGAACTAATAATTAGTTATTAAATAAAGATTTTAAGAATCGATTATTAATTTTTTAATTAAAAATTAAGAAACAGTTTTTTTAACTTCCGATAAAAACATCACACTAAAAACTTCAGGTTAATCATAATCTTACATGGTTACCAACACGTAACACATAAACCTTCTTTTAAATAATATCCTGCTGCAGGACATTTCGTAATTGTAAGGATACGACTTTGTTTAGCAAAGTAGACGAACAGAATATAATATAACTATCAAGCAGTATGCTTGTAGTAATTACAAAATAAATATTTTGTTTTAAAGCCACTTGGATCATAAATGAGTTGCTTAAAACAAAATTAATAGCATATTACAGGCTTTTTTAATATATGTTACAGGGGTTTGTTTTAGGTTGCCCCCGTAAGCGAAGCTTGTAATTCTTCCAGTGACCGTCCTTTAGTTTCCGGCACGAGAGACCAAATAAAAACCAATGATGCTCCTCCAACAACCGCAAATATGTAAAATGTACCTATTTAATTATCATAAACACCAATAAAATAAATAAATGATATCATCGAAATAACAATTTAACTAAGAAGACAAAAGAACTCACAATATTAAATAAAAGAAAACAATACGATTAGAAGAAACAACAATTTCAACCTACCTATTTGTTCTAATTTTATGTTTGGTTTGATTTTTGTTTTCAAAAGGTTAGGTAATAGGTGGCTCTTAATATACTGCTTTGTTAGTTAGCCTTATTAAAAATAGTTGAGAAGATAAGGACCTTGTGCGCTCCATTCAAACATAAAGTTGAAAGCGTAACTCACGAACCACCCACTGGTCCATGAGGTTAATGCCACTATCGTCCCAGCTGAAACTTTAATATTAATTGGAAAAATCTGCAGAAACAAAATAAACGTGTTATTTATAAATAGCCAATATTTCATCTTTTTTTTTTTAAATTAAATTTAGTTATATACCTCGGACATAATGACCCAGGGCAGCCCTCCTAAACCGATGGCAAAACTTCCAAAGTAAACCTTGACAAAGGTTACAGAAATGTTATAAAAATTCATGAGTAAATATATAAAAAAAATCATATACGAATTAAATATTTACCAGAAGGAATATGAAGACGAACACTGGAGTCAGTTCAGGAAGAATATTCATTCCCTGTCCATCCCCATAACAAACACCAAAATCTTTAAGAAATGTTTTAAAATATACTATAAGTAGAAGAATGTAATAATGCCAGTTATCACAAGATTGTAGTCCATTATTAAATAAAATAAAACAAGAGTAACCTGTAACCTATGTTACAAAAAAAAAAAAGAGTAACCTGTAACGTGAAGCAAACTCCCATAACCAAGGATCCAATGGACATTCCAGCAGCAGAAACCTACAATAATTTATAAAAGTGCATATGAGAATATGGTATAGTAGTTGTCTAGTTAACTATTTATGTATAATATAAACCGGATATTTGTTCTAACCAATAGGAGTGGTCGTCTTCCCCATTTATCCACGAAAATTACAGCCAGCAAGGCTTTTGGGATCTACAGAAAGCAGAGAAGACAACATATATGTATAAGCAAAAAATAAAGGAAGGTAGATAAATATTAAATGGCACGCACCACGAACACACCAAATATCATGGACCCAAGTGCCTCTGAAAAGCCTGTGGATAAGAACGTTTTAGATATCAGTGTTATTTTGATATTACTAAGACTCATTGCTTGTACGACAGTACAAATAATTATTCTTAAATAAACAAAAGTCAAAGTTTTTGATATTCTAACCAGATTTTCTAAAGATTGCATTTGAATAATAAGTTACTCCAGCAATTCCAGATAATTGTTGAATCAACATTAAACCAATTCCAATCTGAAAACAAATAAAATGAAACTGTATATTTAAAAAAAAAAGTAATTTATTACTTTTATCAGTTATTAAACAATTACATAGATTTGTCCAAAGTATTTATATGTTACCGTACCACAAGAGTTCGTCTATACTTCTTCTGAAACATGTCATAGAAACTTGACTTTGAATCTTCTTCAACCATTTTTGTCATAACCTGAACAGAAACATAACAAGCTTATAATTAGGATTGCTATATAAAGAAGTATACTAGTACTAATATTCAATAGATAATATTTATAAAACACACACCTGAATTTCAGCTGATTCACCCGAAACATCAGCGTCTCTCCCTCTAAGCTGATGCAGAGAGTGGTCTACTTCTTTGCCTGAGCCGACTTTAGCCTGGAAAAGCCAACGTTATATAAGTAAACTTATTTATAGTCTATATGAACTTATTTTAAGAATACCAACCAGCCATCTTGGTGATTCCGGTATAAAATATACACCGATCGCTTGAATGACGCATGGAATAGCACCTGAATAGAAAATCATAATTAAATTTAATGGTCTTTATGTAATATTAAAAGTTGAAATAAATAAAACTTAACTAGCTGAAATCATGAAAATATATATATCTTGCAAGAATATAGTTCGTACCTATAATAGCCAGGACCCGCCAATTAAGTATTGTCCCGAAAAAATAAATAAGGGACAGGCCACAGTTTTGAAAAAGCTATAAAACCAAAAAAAATAATTGGTTAGTAGCAATAAAGGTGAAATTCAAATGATACCTACCATAATAATCACGTGGATGTTTGTTCTTAACATTCAAACAATATACAGTAATCAGTTTTTACCTGGTTAGAAGAAGTAAATGCACCACGAACATGTTTTGGAGTGATTTCCGCAACGTAGACCGGGACCTTGTTTATATATTCAAAAAAAACGGGTTTATGGAAATGAGAACTAAAATCAACTAAAAATAATCACGAAATTAATATTAACAACTTCTTAGTTACCACATAGCTAATCAAGCCGACTCCTATGCCCAAGGAAATTCTTCCTGCGTCCAGCCATAAAATATCCTATTCGGGATGATTGTAAACTTTGGTTTATATACTTTGACGACCAATATTACAAGTACTTGTTTACCAAAAATAATAATATAGCAAGTACTTATAAAACATTAACATATATGTAAGTATATTCTGAGGGGAGATTTACACCTTTGCGAAAGCAATGGAGAGCCAACCAAAAATGCAGAGCAAGTCGCAGGCCCACAACGTCTTTATTCATTGAGTCACCAAGAAAAGAAAAAAGAATATTAAAAAATTGGAACGTAGTTAAGAACTACGAAGAAAACACTTGAAAAGATAATATGACATATTAACAAGTGTATAATAAAAACACTTGAAAAGATAATGTGAGAAATTAACAAGTGTATAATTTATAAACCCTTTCTCAAAAACAAAAGTGCATAATATATGATTTAAGAAAACGGTAAAATTGCAAGTAATTACTCGTCTTCTGCCGAGGGTGACTGCCAATTGACCGCTGCAAAAGGCTCCCAATGCAGCTCCCAAGTTCAGAAATGACCCAAACGCTGAAAACTGGAAGAAAAAAAAATTAAGTAATTACTGAATTACCTCAAGAATTTTGGAAACTGGAAGATATCAATGAGTTTGTTTGTTGTATAGTAGTGCTACTTCTTGATTTTTTTTAATACCTACCTGCTTTGTGGCTTAATCATGCAATTACAAGTAATTATGAAACTTCTGACACTTTTTGTGATAAATGCTTTTAAAAGATAGATAAGATATATAGAAAGAGAAGATGCATACTTCTGCAATAGAAAGGTCTAACTTTTTCATGATCTCAGACTCAGCGCCTGAAGTATAACCACCCTACAATATAGACAAATAATTAAGAATAAAAAAAGTTCTTTAAATTTGCTAAATCGACAAGAAATTATAATTGAGGTTAAAGAGACATAGAGAAACTCACAGCACAGCCAGAGCTTAAGGAGCTACAAACAGCAATAAAAGTGCTGAGGATAACACAAGCGGTAACATGAGGATCACCTCTGTCGTTTTGCTGTCTTTGCAGAATAAGTCCTTCCTCCATGCTTCTATCTTCTTCCACCACCATTTTTACGATTAGTCTTTCCTCTCTTTCTTTCTTTCTTTCTTTCTTTCTTTCTTGAAATTTTATTTTCTGTTTTATTTTCTTTTCAGAACTTCCCCCAGAAATTTATTGGTTGTTCATATAAACAGAGAGTGATGGACATAGAGAAGAGAGAGAGATGGTGTGTGTGGGGTTGGTTACTTGCGGGTTTCAAGTCATTGATTGGCCACAAGTTCCTTGTTATAGAACATCTCGGATTTTTTTTTAAACCAAACCAAAATATTTATCTTTTTTTATTAAACAAGATAAGAACAAATTTGGGTGCATTTAAGTGAATTTAGCTCATTATATGTACTTAATACAAGCTTCCTTTTTTTTATTTTCCTAAACGATTATGCAACTAATACATATTAGTATATTACTAACCATGATAACTAGATAAATGTCGACAAAAAAGTACTAAGTATGTAACGTAGAATATTTTAAGAATAGAATATAAAGATTCAAACATATCAGAAACATTACTAGAAACAGTTACAAAAATAAAAGAAACTTCACTAGAAATAAATCTATAAACCAGTGTCAACAAAATAAATAGAAAAATAAGGAAATTCCTTATTTCTTAACTAATTTACAGTTAGAAATATTTACACATGTTTATCCAAATAACCATGTGTGACACGTTTTATATTGTCAGTACAACAATACAGATGGAATAGTTATTGCCCCTTTGATAATATAATTATCTTTTAAAAATTTTGCACTAGTTGTTAATTTCCATTTTTCTCAAAATCAAAAATTTCAATTTTCAACTTTTTCATAAAATATAAACCATTTGCAAACAAAAAAGATATATATATATGTACATCTAACTTATCTAGTGTACAAGCAACATATTATGGATTATGGAGTGGCCATTATTATTTGGACTCTCTAGGTGAGTTTTCCCGATTTGCCATACTTTAATATTTTTCAAAACATCATTATGTAAATTTCTCGCTATAAAAATTGTTTCTTTTGTTCTCTACAAATCTTGAGAAAGTAATATATCATGTTTTTTTTCATTGCTATTAGATATTATACTTAAAGAAAATATATTTTTATTGTGCTGTCTACAAAAGGGGTTATAACTTTCACAAGAAAATATATCAAACATAAATAAAGTTGAAAGTAACTCGATAATTGGTTTTCAACTTTTATGATTTTTCCATATCCGAATCCATATACAAGATGTTAATTTTTTCAATATTTGCCATATTTTTATTGAACAAGACATGTGAGATATTTAGTAGGTCGAAAGTTCAATTTCTAGACGTAGCGGTGACATCTATTATACATCCAGTGGTCTTTCCTTGCTAATGGTACTTGATCAATAATATATATATACATCAGCCTTTTAAATGTTTTTCAATACGTCAAAGTAAGCCAGTAATGAAGACTATTCCAAAACTATATTCTAAAACTAGATCATAGTTAGATCAGTTTCCCTTTAAAAATATTTTTTAATTAAAACTCACATATGAGTTTTTCATATATATGTACAAAGACCTAAAATATATTCTAATATTATTGTCCAAATGAAATTTCACTATGAATATAAAGTTTAAAACGAGATTCTAAATGGTCTTGTTGACCAAAATAAAAAACAAAAAGTTTTTTTGTTGTTGCTAAAAGTGATATATAATTGACTGACATGACTTGTTGATAAATGACTATCAACGACTCACATTATATACAAATAATGACATTTGTGGTGGTCTGTAAATCTTAAGTTTCTGTCAGACTTCGTTTTTGCTACAGTATACTACTTTACAGTTTACACCAAATGGAGAAAAAAAAAGCATAATAGCCGAATTTGGGTTGTCAGGAAACCTTTGGAAATTATAAACGAATTTGGGTTGTCAGGAAAGAAAAGATCATAGGCTTCATATCTTCTGCCAAGTGTGTCATAATTTGAGGTTTATATAAGGCTAAAAATAAGATAAGGCTCTTAATAATTTGGGTTCCTTGGACCCAACAAGCTTTAATTGGTTTAAGAGTGTTGGAACTAATTGGGTTCAACCAAATTCTTTTATTTGGCTACCACTTGGTGTTGTTCTGAAAGCCCATATACATCCCCACACATAATCATAATTTATTTTACAAACAATTCCATTAAACTATAATGGATACTGTATGCTGCAAATAATAAAAAATCATGTATTAGGAGCTTAAGAAAAAAAAGAGAGAGAGATGGTGGTGTGTCACGTTGGAACTTTGACCTTTAATCTCCATTAAAATAATTTAAAACTTATGATTAGTGCTCTCTACAGCTCTCTACTCGTAATGGGGAAGGCGTGAATAAATATTTGATTAGTTTATGAAACATTATTATATATTTGTTATTGGAATCTTTCATTGTTCGTCAACTTTAGTTGTTAATCTTTCTGTATAAACCGACAAAAAAATATAATAAAAAAACAAAACAAATAATATATTTATAAGACTAATTGTTTGTATTAATTCGCTTAATATTAAGAAAATTGAAACTCATTTGTGCTAAGAAGCTTGAGCAAGAAGGTATTACAAAGAAGAAAAAAACCCTAACAAAAAAATTGTTCGATCATCAATGTCTCCTGACAACAAACTTCTTCCGAAGCGGATCATCCTCGTACGTCACGGCGAATCCGAAGGTAACCTCGACACGGCTGCTTACACGACAACACCGGATCCCAAGATCCAGTTAACCGAATCCGGTTTGCTTCAGGCGCAAGAAGCCGGAGCTCGTCTCCACGCGTTGATCTCATCAAACCCTTCTTCACCGGAGTGGCGCGTGTACTTCTACGTTTCACCGTACGATCGGACGCGATCTACGCTCCGAGAGATCGGACGGTCCTTCTCGCGTCGCCGTGTGATCGGCGTTCGAGAAGAATGTCGGATTAGGGAACAAGACTTTGGGAATTTCCAGGTTGAGGAGCGAATGAGAGAGACCAAAGTGGACAGAGAGAGGTTTGGTCGGTTCTTCTACCGCTTCCCGGAGGGTGAATCCGCCGCCGACGTGTTTGATCGTGTCTCCAGTATGTTTCCTTCCTCTGTTTTGAGACTGATTTGATAGATCTTTAGATGTGTTTCTGTTCATGTTTCATGTTAGGTTCCGACAACAATCTAAGTTTGTCTTAAAGATTCATAGTTTTGTCTTATATTGTTTTATTACAGGTTTTCTTGAGTCTCTATGGAGAGACATAGACATGAACAGGCTACACATCAACCCGTCACATGAGTTAAACTTTGTGATTGTCTCGCACGGTTTAACATCACGTGTCTTTCTGATGAAATGGTTCAAGTGGACCGTGGAACAGTTTGAGGGACTAAACAATCCAGGGAACAGCGAGATCAGAGTCATGGAGTTAGGACAAGGCGGTGACTACAGCTTGGCGATTCATCACACGGATGAAGAGTTAGAGAGATGGGGTTTGTCACCAGAGATGATTGCAGATCAGAAATGGCGTGTTAACGCACATAAAGGCGAGTGGAAAGAAGATTGTAAGTGGTATTTTGGTGATTTCTTTCATCTTTTGGCTGATTCGGATAAAGAATGTGAGACTGAGGCAGCCATTGAAGAAGAAGAAGAACATGGGGAAGTGGAAAACAATCTTCTAACGAACTCAGAAGATAACAATGAGGAGGAGTTATGCAATGGACAATGCAGCTGATAAGGTTACAAAATACAAAGAATTCAGAATATGATTTTGAAAAATTGTACCATTTACTGAAGTTTTTGTAGCTTTTTGTTTGTCGGAAAGTGTTGTACAAACCTGTGTGTGGTCTATAGATACACAGAAACATTACAGGAACTTTGAAGAAGATCCTTTTATTATGTCAAAGCATTTATTATTGTGAATGAAAGTTATTGAAGGAAAGCTCTGTTTTACAACAAAAGCTAGCCTTGGGAGGCATTGCTAAAATATTTAGTTAAAATACAACTATATGTGTAGATAATAAGATATATGTGTTCATGTATATAAGATTAACTTGTATTCTGTAAACAATTTTTCTTGAGGTATTTCTAAAGATTCCATGACAAGGCCGTCTCAGAATATCTACCAGAGAGAATGTGATGTGCCACAAACCGATTTGCAGCTTCAGTGTAATGAATCCCATCCCAGTTAACATATTTGGAACTATCATTACAAGCTGTGGCTGTTATTATTGTACCATCTGATGATTTTCCCGTCGAACCGCAGTTAACTTGATTATTATAGTTCAATGGTGGTCCTCCGGTTCCACAACATACCATTATCGAATGATCAAAACCTGTGTTATCATACACAACAAAACAAGTTTTCAATCACAAGCTCGCAGCTACTAGAAAATGCTATGTTAATCAGCTTTAGGTTCTAGCTAATCACAAGAGTAAGATTGTTATTATTATGACTATTTTTTGTAACAAGTGAGATCATTTATATATACAAACCGTAATTGGAATGATTGAGGATGAGGTCGGATTTGATGGAGAAGATATCAACGTATGTGAAACGAGAATCAGGATATTGTTGAGGGAGTTTTTTGAAAAGACCATGAAGCTGTGAATTGAAGAGCTTAGCAGCTTGGTTATGGTCAATGACACAACCAAACTCATCAAGTTTTGATTTGTCTCTCCCAAATATTGACACAACCTGAGCTAAACACCCAAGTGGTCCTGTGTTGTGTATCCAAAAGTTTCTTGCACCTTCCACGTATAGTCTCTAGAAAACAAAACAAAACTTAATAAGAATGATATTAAAGATTCATTATATATAAAATACGTACCTTTATTCCATCTTGAAATATATCTATGATTGTAGGAATGAGACCAACAACTTGATCTAGTGTCTTGTTGTAAAATGCCCCGGCAATATCATTTTGTCCGATATCAAACATATACAATCCATTTTTGAAATAATATTCTGATGGCAAGTATTTTTCAAGATCTTCATCTGAAAATGATTTAAAAAAGTCATTTGTACATGTACTATATGATTTATGAGTCTATGTATGAATACTGGATATTTTTACTAATTGTTTATTTAATTACCTTGTTGTAACAATTGAAGAACTTTGGATTTAAATGTGACAAACTGAGAGACTTGAACACCAAGACCAAAAGGGCTAATAGATGCAGCATTTGCCTTCTGAATCGTTGATCCACCCGCAGCAAAATTGCAGCCTCTCCGGTAACTTTGTGTGCTTACCGAATCCAAATAAGGTCTCAAATAAGGCCGATCAATTGCTTCCACTACATAAAATTATATATACAGTACAATCTTACTTTAGTAAAAACTGTTTGTGCATTAAAAAAAGTATGAAAATGTAGAAAGAAAAATGATTTGGAAAAAGAATAATACTTAGAAAATCGACAATGAGACGTCCATTACAGAATCTTCCGGACGATGGAGGTTTGAAGAAGTAGGATTTTCCATAGGAAGGTTGGAGGCGGAAGCCAAGACCGGAGCTGAGTTCTCCGGTGTCGGAGTTAGAGTCTCCAAAGTTGAAAACCGCCGGAAAATTAGGAGAAATAGGAAAAGAACTGGCGAGAGGAGGCAGAGTATGGAAGATGGCTACTAATAACAACGTGAGAAGAGGACGAAAAAGGCTTTCCATGGCTCAATGTATTGTTGGTCTTCTTATTCATACATACTATACTCTTATATATACTAGTATACACACATGCATTTGTGTGTGTATGTAAAATAAACGTACGTATGTACTGTATATAGTTTAATGAAAGTAAAATGGAGTTTGCTTGGAAATATGGAAAGCAACAAAAATGATTGTGTTCCTCCCGTGACACTTTTGTAAAGACAATTTGGGGGTTTATGGAGGTCACATTAATCTCACTATATATGTGGTTAGACTTAGAGATGACTTTGTTCAGTATTATGGAATACTATCAATGTCTCATTTATATAGGGAACATTTTGTACATAAGTTGATAACTGACTGAAATAATTTGAAGGGTGAGAGAACTGTTATATTAGATCCGTTGTTCTGATAAAGTAATTGGGTTGTGTAGTGATGAACTGACAATACATGATGGACAATTGCTATGAATCTGCAATAATATGACTTGAATCTAAAGGCTTGTATTTTTTAAGTTTTATCACGGAAATTATTGCATTTCTTTATTATCATGTGAGAGTAACGTGAAAGAGTGGACATATAGTGTTTATAACGGGCCGTGATGGTTATGCCCAGTGATCCCAATAAGCCCCAATGTCCGTCTCTATATGTTTGAAATCAGTCTTTAGCCCGGTACGTACAAGTCTTTAGTAACTTAGGAAAATTTAAGCATCCCCTATTGTTTTGCACCTGAATTGAATTATATGACATTCACTAAGTTTAAACAGTGATCTTTTCACAAAATATTTGAAGAGAGGGATCTCCTGTTTTAATTTACATCTAAAGTTCTTGATCAAATATTCAGGGGATCTTACTTATTTATAAAAAGAAAAAAACAATCTCTAATCACACGTCAATGCACTTTTGTTGCAGGTTACAAAATAGATGAACGTTGTGATTTTTTGGTAACTAAAACACTGCAAAACGTTTTACAAGAAGCTGACTTGAGGTGAGGATTCAGGTGAGCTAATACCTACATACCAAGAACCCTGAAATACCAAAAAATTAAACGAGGTAGTAAAAGTTGCTTAAATAAGCATTTATATGAGCCTATTAATGCAAATAAGATTATTAAAAAGGTTTGCGTCTTCACATGGTTTAGTTGGCTTTACCGTATGTTTAGAGGTTTACACACGATTGTGTACAAACACGTAGGTAGTTAGGTTTCTCGAGTAGTAGTAAGAAGTGCGTTCTCTCTATACTTCTTGAAAGTCTCTGTTGGCGACTTAGTCTAAAATAATTGAATTTAAATTTAAGTCAGCGCTTCTTGTTTGAGACCAAACGTGAGAAGTATGACCATAAATAAAAGCATCACATATCGAGCGATTGTAGTTTTATTTATTTCTTTAAAGAAAACAAACTTGTTTTGTGAAGGCATAACTTGCTAATGGCCTATAAATTTCCGTTTCTAATCTATTAACTGTGGCACCCGATTCTTTAGTAGCTTTGTCTTCTCTAAAAGTCTCTTTTCATTTCCTTTACTTGGCAAGTAGATTTCTGGCTCTTTTAAAATTTCAAGATACTCTCGTCAATAAATCTAAATGGGAAGAGCTTTCTATAAGGAAACACCCAATAATTTATGAAAACGAGTCTTTATTCTAGCTTCTCTATATGAAAAGAGATTCTATTCGTTTGAAACTTTCACCACTAAACAAAGAAGTTAGATCATTTCTTCAAAAAAATATCAAAGAAGTTCCTTCAGCGACATCCAATAAAAAGACAAAAATAGTAGTTAATTCTTCAAATGATTAAACTCATTAGATGTAGGTTAAAATATGACGTTTTTTTTTAATAATCCAGAGGTTCTCCACTTACGTGAATCATTCTTCTGAACTCGGTTAGGCAGCAGTCCACTTCATCCGGGAGGACTTAACCTGGACTGAGGACAATGCCTAACACCCAGTACCGCATTTAGTGAGAAAAATTGGCAGTTCCCCCGTCTGGCGTCGAACCCATGAGAATGACAATTGGCTCACAAGATCTTTACCAAACTGCTACCTCATCCCGTCAGGTTAAAATATGATGTTAAGCACTAACAGTAACTTATTTTACATAATACCGAACAAAATGCTAGTTTAAGGAAAAAAAAACAGACTAACGAAAGATCCTGTCTCTCACAAATCACATTAAACCGATTTGTTTCATGTTTTTATGATTTGATTCCACTCTAATAACATTAAACCCAAAAAAAAAAAAAACTCATGTTCATGAACGTACGAAGCTTCTCAACGCCACGTGGAACTCAGGTATGAACCAGTTGCTTACATCACTGTTGTAACCCACCCCTTCGTCGCTGCTTCAAAAGCTCTTTTTAACGCTATAATAATAAACTCACTTTCTCCTTCTCTAACACAAACAACAAAAGAAAAACAAAAACATTGGTGACATAAAACTATAAAGAATCATGAGAAAATCTAATCACAACGCTTTCACCGCCGTTTTACCGATTATTTTCTTGTTTATATTATCATCAACGGAGCTAGTAACGGGTCAAGGACAACCCGATCAGAGAAAAGAAGTGTATACCTACGGAAAGATAAGTCCAGCCTTAGCAGTGATCGTCGTGATCTTGTTAGCTGCTCTCTTCTTCATGGGCTTCTTCTCCATCTACTTCCGCCACTACTCCGCCTTACCCGACGCCGCAGCCGGCGTTTCCTCAGCCGGTGGAGTTACTAGAACAAGAGGAGTCTTCAACGTTGCGGCGGTGACACGTGGACTCGACGTTACGGTGGTTGAGACTTTCCCGACGTTCGTGTACTCTGAGGTGAAGACGCAGAAGCTTGGTAAAGGGGAGTTGGAGTGTGCGATTTGTCTGAACGAGTTTGAAGACGATGAAACGCTGCGTTTGCTGCCTAAATGCGATCACGTGTTTCATCCTCACTGTATCGGTGCGTGGCTTGAAGGTCACGTGACTTGTCCGGTTTGTAGAGCGAATCTCGCTGAGGAGGTGGCTAAAGAGGAATCGGTCGAACCGGATGTTGAGTTACAGCAGGTGGTTGTGAATACCGAACCGGTGGTTGATTCGGTTCCGGTTTTGGAGAATTCGGTTACGAGTGAGATTGATTCGAGGAGAGTACCGGTGGATCTTAAACGAGCCAAGTTTTCGAGATCGCATACGACGGGACATTTGGTGGTTCAACCGGGAGAATGTACCGAACGGTTTACTCTTCGGTTACCGGAAGATGTGAGGAAGAGGGTGATGGCGAATTGGAGATTAAACCGGTCGAATAGTCTTCTTGTTCTTCCTAGGGGAGGGAGTTCGAGAAGAGGTAAACCGATTGACCGGTCAAGGGCTCGGTCTGATCGATGGTTATACCGTAAAACTTCGTCGTTTTTGTGGAGGAATCGAGATGATGGTTCGATTAGGCTAGGTGGAACCGGTAGCGTTCGAGCAAATGCTGTACCGAATTTAACCGGTGATTTGGTTCGGTCAGACCGGTGGGCTATTCTTAGAAACGCTTCGTTTCTGTGGAGGAATTCTTCGGTACAGGGGACAAGAGGTGGAGTTCATAAGGATAGGGAAGGAACTTCGGTTAAACCGTCCGGTACAAGTGGTTCAACTAGCGGTTTGGAGAGATTACCGGTTTAGTTGACTTTTATTTGTAGCCGTAAGTACTATTTTCGCATCTTTTTCCATTTTTGTGTGTCGTATGGGATTGTTGATATAAAAAGAAATGTATTATTAAATTTTCTGTAACGTGAATATTAATCAAAGTCAAATCCAGAAAAGATCTACTTTTTCGAAAATAATGTATAAAATAGCTTTAAAAAAGTGGAAGAAACAATAAACAAAGATGAGCTGAGGTGTGGTGCAGGTGTGTTTCTGGGGTTCTTGAAATATAAAAAGGTCTTATTCGTCGACAGAGAATATAGCTATCTGTAAGATAAAACATACAAGCGAATAGATATAGTTAGTTTGTGTTTTCTGCCTTTACCAGAATACAGCTCTCTTATTAATACTTAAGGCTTACAAGTTACAAGTTTATATGTAATAGAAAAAAAAAATTTATATGTAATAGATATCAACTTTGTGACTGGTCTACCAAAGTTTTACTTTGTAGTTTATACAGAAGACTACATGAGCTAACATTAACAACGACTTGGTTTTGAAGTACAATTACCATTCATTTTTCATAAAGTTATAACGTTATACCTGATAGATCATTATTTTATACGATTTGGAATAATTGTCATTTCTTGAAGAGATAATATTCTATTACAGGTAGTAGTTCCACGCAATTGTTGATACATATATGAAAATTTATGGACCGTCACTAGGTCTCCATGTCGGATCACAGATCTCATCCGCGTAAGAATAATCATGAGTCCGACTAAGGACACAATAAAATATTCGTAGTTATTCACATATGTAACCTATGCGCAAGACATGCATATATTTAGAAGTTTAGAACTCCCTCACAATATGTATGTATATATGATTAATAATGAACTGTCTGCTGCCTCCACCGCCCATAATCCATCGCTTAGGTGTAAACTTGACATAGTAATAGACGACAAACAAACACAAATTATTGTGTGATCGCACACTATGACGACCAAATATCTTTTTATTGCTAAATTAATGTCAATGAAAGTTTGGTTAAAACATTGTTGTATCACAATCTGCTCGAAAAACCCTATGTGTTCTTAAAGAACGCAAAAAAGGTTAAAAAAAAACGAAATTATAAAATACTAATCCAAGACAGCCACAAAAGATGATCTTGAAGATAGTAAACAACTAAGAACAAGAAATAAGTTTATCCATCCACATCCACTTGTTTTTTCTTCCATGGTACTAAGATTTGGGAGTTAAGAGTTATGTTAACTATAACCTTTTAGAAATCGTATAAAACTAATTACGTACGAGGAACAAGTCGATATGCGACTGATATAACACAATGAAGTCGACCATGTATAGTTTAGGCCTTTGAAAAATTGATGTTGAGGAGAAAGTCACCCATTAAACATTTGAGAAACAACATTATTTAAAGTTTACCATCTAATGGGCTTTGGGCTTGTACAGTTAAAGCCCAACAAAGCCTATGTTCTGTTCTTCCCTGGGAAGTTGAGAAGGAGAAAGGAAAAACAAAAAAAACTCGGGAGATTCAATCACTAATGGCGAACGAAGACGACGACGGAGAGAAATCACGAGGGACGCCACAAAAGATTGCGAACAAACCCAAAACCCAAATCGTAATTGGTGTTCCATCGTACCAGGAAGTCTTAGAAAGCTCACAGACTAAGTCCACGCCTCCGTCTCTCTTCAAACCTTCCCAGACTTTCTCTCAAGCTTTCGCTTTCGTCAAATCCTCCGACGTCTACTCTCCTCCTCCTCCTCCTCCGCCTTCTTCTTCTACCGGCGCTTCTCAGGCTCCCAGTACAAGGTAATTTTGGGTAATTTGATGAAAGAGTAGTGATTGTTTTTGGTTTTACCTGAGAAAGAGCAAAGTGTAAGACTTTGTTGGCTCTGTTTTGTTGATCAAAGTGTTCTGAAGATTGATTGCTGTTCAAAATTCGAAAATTTTAATGTTTATTTACCCATCAATCATCCTCTGTTTTTTGAGCTAAGTGTTCTGAAGATTGATTGCCGTTGGAAAGTCGAAAACTTTGAATGTTTATTATTACAATTAATCATCCTCTGTTTGTTTTGATCAAAGTGTTCTGAAGATTGCTTGCCATTGAAAAAGTTGAAAACTTTGAATGTTTATTATTTACCATCAATCATCCTCTGTTTTTTTTTGTTATCAAAGTGTTCTGAAGATTGCTTGCCATTGAAAAAGTCGAAAACTTTGAATGTTTATTATTTCCAATCCTCTGGTTTTTTAATCAAATTGTTCTGAAGATTGCTTGCCATTGAAAAAGTTTAAAACTTTGAATGTTTATTATTACCATCAAGTATCCTCTGTTTTTTTTTTATCAAAGTGTTCTGAAGATTGCTTGCCATTGAAAAGCGGAAAACTTTGAATGTGTATTAATCAATCATCCTCTGTTTTTTTTTTATAATGATTGCATTGTTTCTCTCGCATACTTTAGTTTCCATTGTAGCCAAACGCCTCAAACAGATGTGGCTTCATCATCTACTCCTGTAGCTACTGGCTCTCAACCATCGAACACAACTCAACCACGTAACGCAATTCTCGTTAGCAATAGACAGGTGAGGTTGACTTTAAACAACCTCCATGTTCTTCTTTGGAACTCATCTGAGTTTTCGAATTGTATTTGCAGAAAGGAAACCCGCTTCTTAAACATATAAGGAATGTGAAATGGGTTTTCTCAGATATCATTCCTGACTACTTACTTGGTCAAACCACTTGCGCTCTGTATCTTAGGTCTGAAACTCTGCAACTTTCCTCTGTTTCATTATTGTTTATAAAATCATGTTCTAAGTTTCAAGGTGTCTTGATTTTCTTCCTCTGTAGCTTGAGGTATCATCTACTGCACCCGGATTATCTCTATTTCCGCATTAGGGAACTACAGAAGAATTTTAAGCTCCGTGTTGTTCTTTGCCATGTCGACGTTGTAAGTTCAAATCATTGTTCTTAAAACATTGCGTTGGCTCTTCTCGTGATGTTCTTATGCTTTCTTGGACAGGAAGATTCGGTGAAACCGTTGCTTGAAGTCACCAAAACCGCTCTTCTCCATGACTGCACTCTATTGTGCGCCTGGAGGTATCAAACATTTCAGTCACTCTGCTTCTCGTTGTATGCTAACACAACGTTATGTGTAAAATCTCTTTGCAGTTTGACGGAATGTGCACGTTATTTGGAGACGATAAAAGTCTACGAAAACAAACCTGCAGATCTCATACAAGGACAGATGGATACAGATTATCTCTCACGTGTATTGAAACTATGTTAAGCTTTCTCTTAAGGTTTGTAGATTCTCATGGAGTAAATTGTTGTTTGCAGCTAAACCATTCTCTTACAAGTATCAGGCATGTGAATAAGAGTGATGTAGTCACACTTGGTTCTACATTTGGGGTTAATCTTCAGAAATTTCTTTTCATATTATTATGAATTCTATGGTTTATATGATTTAGCTAAAGTTGGAAAACTTGAAAACATGATTTATGCAGTCTCTAGCTCATATAATGGATGCATCCATGGAAGATCTAGCTCGTTGTCCTGGTATTGGCGAACGCAAGGTACATTTTCCTTCGCCTATAATCCAAAAACTACATGATTCCTGCGATATAGGAGGGTGTCTTGATCTGAGAATCATTTTTAAACCTTAGGTAAAACGGTTGTACGATACATTCCACGAACCTTTCAAGCGTGCAGTTTCGAGCTACCCGTCTGTTACAGAACCAACAGTCCAGGAAACTGAAGTTCAGAAGGATGTGAACTCAGTGGAACCTGTTGAAGCAGACGAGGATTTTGTGGAGGACTCGAGGAAACGCAAGAAGAAGGAGCCTGAGAAAACTGTGAAGAATGCTCTCTCTGCAGTTTTCACTAGATACTCGGATAGGCTCACCAAGAAGAAGGATAAACAAAAGGAGAAAGATACAGCAACAGAGTCAAATGCTGAAACCCACCAAGATTATAACATAATTGGGTAAGGCTATTGTAACTGTGACCATATTCCTAGAGATGTAACATAATGTTAGTTTTGGTATTTGTTCGTTGGGTCTTGGGTGTAGTTGTTTGTGGTCTCTAGCATTTGAGTGTGTTAGTTGCTGAAGCCTATGTATTAATTTCTTACTATTGTTGCAAATTTTGTTTAGCTTTTCTTGGTTTTGGGCCACTAGGATTTATATGACACACAGATTTGATACGGAAACACAAGAATTAGCTAGAAGCTCAAAATGTTTAGATGTGGTAACACTATCTCCTCTTGTGAATTAAGCTGAAATAAGAATAGGTCTAGGTCAAGCCGGATGAACATCGATCTTGGACACTTTATATTTTTGAAAAAAAATTATGTGTACAAGTCTCAAATTTTTTTTTTTAAATCTCAATTAGTAAAAAGAAAAATTTAAGTGAAATCGTTAATAAATTATTTTAGACTCTTTAATTTTGCAGGACCGGTTCTGAAACATACAATAGTTTTTAAAGTTTAGATGAAGTTCCATTGTTTCGGTATGATGACAAGAATTTAGATTTGTATAGTTCAGATTGGTTTAGTACGGTTTGCTAATTGCTACAGAGACGTGTAGAGTAGTAACACGCAATTCGACCGTTTAGCAGCTTTTTGCAATTAAGATATTTTCAGAATTGTAGTTTTGTTGACATGGTTGAAATGTTTTAGATGGTGTCTTGTCGAACATAGACAAAAACACACTTGAACTTTGTGCACCACTCTTGTAATTAACTTTATTTAAAAAAAAAACAACTAAAAGAAACTCTTTCGGTGTAAATGGGTTTACAATTGCAAGCGACACAAAAAAAGGTAAAGTTGCAAAAGACTGGTTAAAAGAAAAGTGCAGAGAATATTTGAACTGTAAGTAAACAGGCTAATAAATAGCGTGACAAGTAAAAGTTGAATTTAAACATCTTACGATCTTAATTAATGTACATGTGATCTTTTGTATATATATAAAGTAAATCGAATTACTGAGGATGTTGGAACATGAGGGGGACAAAAGCGAAAGTAACATTAAAAACATGAACTGCTTATAAGTTATAATTATTACACATACATGAATGTGTATATGGTATGTAAATAGTATATTGGTGCAGTTTTTTGGAATCTGACTCCCCTCTTTTTCGGACGAAAGCATATGTTTTCAATCTGCTTCATGTCTTCTTTAGCAAACCCAATAAAGCATTTTTTTCTCTTTTTCTTTTCTTGATCCTTGGGATTTGCTCTCTTTACGCTATTTTCGATCATGCCCCAATCTCTCTTTTTTCTTACGGATTTAACCTATAAATATCGCAGTTTGTTCATGGAGAATTTTACTTAAAAGCTCGATGAAACACGAGGCTTTGATTTGTGTGTGGTTCAACAGTCACGGAATTATTTTAAATTCTGTGAAACTTATTACTTTAAGAAATATAAAATTTTCGAAATTCAGTTGAAACGTTAAAACTTTTTCCACCACCTACCTTTCGTGCCATTGCTCGTTGGCAACCAATTTTATGGCTACAACTCTTTTAGGTAGATAATATATACTAATTTTGCACAATTATTCTTTTTGTCGCTTATTGTTAAATTTTTATAGTAGTTACGTTCATGTGAATTTACTCGATAAAAATAGAAAATTAATTGGGACTGAAAAAATAAAAACGAAAAGAAATAAAACAAGCAAGAACCACTAAAATCACAATCTTATCATCAACAAGAATGGGTCATATGATGTATATATTTTAGTGATTTGTCATATATGTGTATGTAAGGGAAGTGTCCTTGCAAACAAGGGTATATATGTCTATTGCACATTTTTGTACATGCATATATAAAGTTGATTGCAATTGTACCTAACCAAACACTACAAAGCTTTCTTTAAATAATACACATTGATAGATGTCATGATTCATGTACATAAGGTAGTGACCCAATTTTGGATATGAAGTCCAAAGACTCCAGCTGTGGACATCCTTACAATACATCTCTGTTTATAGACTATCGTTCTCACACTTTCTTTTTTTCACCATAGATGTTAATTGTTATCAGCCAATAATGTATACTTATGATGGTTTCATCAAAATATAATATCTTTAGTCTTTGTCAGTGCAAATAACTTCTAGTAATTCTTACCTGATGTTGACCTCAATTAACGAAAACTTTACCAATATACTAAAAAAAAAATTTAACTGTAAGAAAACTATAAACGCAAATGTTTCAGTACATGCGTTTCACGTCTTCAGAGTTTCATTTCGAAACTTGCTTCTGAGAGAGAGTGTTTGAAAAAATGAAGTCAAAGGTGTTGACAAATTTGTTTTTTATAACTTGTTTTGTGACTTGGACTAGTAACAAACTTCGTCTGCATTCTCACACGTATCTTCTCATTCGTCACTCGACCTTCAAAATCAAACCTAACACGTGATACTTTTAGTTCTTATGTTTGGTCTTTTTGTAGGTCAGTTCACAATTCCCTATTTTCATGGGAATGTTAATCATATTATGTTCATACTTAATACCATATTTTATTATAAAAGTACAGAATATGGTTAGGGTCGGCTAATATAAACTACTCCAAATCCAAATGTTGAACATATTCAAAAATATACATAAGAATACGAAATATAACGTTACGTAAGTGTTTTTAGATTTCAGATGTCACAGTTCAAGCTATAGTTGGTAATATTGTAGAATGGCAGAACTATTAAAACAAAAAGTATAGAAAATAAAGTGGATGTTCTTATTAAAAAAATACATGTGAAACCGTTGATGACATGTTTTCGTCATAGATTTATATCTCGATATGAATTGTCAGCTTGCAGAAATGTTATTTTACTTTGATTAGTAGTCAAAAGATTCAAAACCTGCAGACAGTTGATATGTAAGCATGGTTCGTACAGGATAAGATAAAAGCTGGTAGCAAGGAAATCAAATTGCTGCCATATAGTTTAAAGTGATTCTGAAAACATTATTTCTTCTTGTTTCAAATTCAGTACTTTTGATGTTTGCAGCAAAGAAAAATCTTCAGTAATTTATACATTTTAGTGTTAGTGTTGGAGCATTTATTTATTGTTTAAATAGAAAAAATGAAGATATTTATGTGTGTTTCAAAAAAAGAAGAAGATATTTATGCAGTCGTTTTTTTTATAAAGAGTTGTGTAATATATTTTCATCTGTTTCTTATGCCAATAACTGCCACACATATTTGATTGAATTTTGCCTCCGAAGTGTCATGCTTGTGGATCTTGGTTAACGTTGTTTTCAACTGTTATCGTTTTTTCTTTAATGTCGTGATTCGGTCGAATAAATATTTTTTTCAACGAAAAGATAAAAGAATATGTTTTCAGTGATGTATGGATGCTCTCTGTTACCAAATCAAGATATATTGAAATTTTTCTGATAAGTTGATAGTTTTTTGGCTTTTGTCACACTTGCACACACACTGGGATATTCTTTCACTTTTGTTAGAAGCTAAACCTATGAGGCTATGAATATAACACAAACCATGAAGACAATTCAGTTTCACAATATAGTAACTTATTCATATGTAAATGAAGAGAATAAAAAATTACTACACTGGATTTGAATTGAGTAGATGAGAACATAGATTAGGTCCCAGCGTCCAAAAAGCCAAAAACAACAACAGTTTGATTTGGATACTCATTGGCATGTGCTTCAAAATACCCCACATCTTATAATGAGTCCAAACAATTTCCGATTTTATTGAATAGTCAAATGTGTATAGTAGTGCTACTAAAAGCAAATAAAAATATAGTTTTATGATAATTTTTATGCAAAAGATAAAGGGAAAGTAAAGCCTAGTTTCTTCACATTAAAGAAATTATGTAGGAACAGAGCTATCATTTATAACATAACGATGACACTATTCTGTATCATTTTGTCTTCATTTACAACTGTTAATATATTATCATACCTTCACGTACATACTACATACTATGAGCTGTAGTTTGATTATCCTTTTAAACGGAGTCTTACCTGCAAAAGTTCAAATAACTTCTACAAATTTGCTTAATAATAGAAAGCCTTTCATCAAAAAAAAAAAATTTGCTTAATGAGTTCTTAGTTTCTCTTTTGAGAGCACTGAACTTAAACAACCAGAGTAAAATCTAATGATATATTTAAAAGCGTGTAAATAAATAGACAAACTGACAAAGAGAAATTAAGCTGACAGCAATGTTCTTCACGAGGTTGGTTTTCTTTATGGTATACAGAAGACGTGATAAAACAACAGGGAAATTCAATAATAATTTTATCTAGAAAAAGAAGGGTCTAATGTGCCTCTGAAAATGATTGCTCAAAACCCTTGAAACAATTCTATTTCATCTTCGATTTTTCTTAAAGCTTATTCTGTGTGTTTTAATTTGACTTATTTGGTCGGAGAAAACTCATTGACTTCTAGGTTGCCATGGACCGACCAACGACGTACGCGGTTCGATCTATCTAAAGCTTATTGTGTCTAACTGCTAGCTAGGACCATAGCAGAGTTGTCACTTCGTCTAAACGTTATGGTCGAACAACGAATTATTTATTTATTTCAAACTTTATTTTACTTATCCTTAATTAGTCCTTTTTCAGATTTTCCCTTTAATTTTAGACGGCTCCACGTGTTAGAAAAACTATTGTCTACGCTTAGTAAGCTAGCATAGCGATAATTTTAACTAGAATAGTCAGAGATATGGGAATAGTAAAGCTGCACGATGTGATTTTAAAATAACAATCGCAAAACTAGTAATAATAGTGTTCTCCCTTCATGTTTATTATGTAGACGACACTATTACGGATTTGATTGAAAAAATCGCTGACTATTATGAATTTATGATACTCACTGAAGTGGTGCACATGCGTCACATGCATTAGCAATTAAGTCAAGTTTATTTTTTCTAACTCGGAGCCTCAGAATATTTCAACTAGATGATTAAATAGTTCTTTAATAGTAATTCTTAATTCCTGACTAATTGGTGGTTGAAGGCTGGCCCTAGAGAGCTCTATCCACAGCAAAGAGTGGAAGCGACCTACCTGTCTTTATGACCCATTAACAGCATCAACATTATTGGCCCTTTTTCTCTCTTATAAATACATATTCATATAAAAAATAATGTATATATATATTTCTGGTTAGCAAAAAAAAATAATATATATATTTCTCTGATTTGTATCTATATTTATCAAGCATCCTCTACAACAAAAGTTGTCAAACAAGTTTGTTTTTCGTTTTCTTGATTTCCAGTTTATGAGTAACATTTTCTATGAAATGTATTACTCTATCCATTTAAGAATGATTTGTGTTTTAGAAAAGTAAATTATTTCAAATATTTTATATTTAATGCATTTTATTAGATAATAATTATTTTTTTGAATTTTTTTAAAATTTCAAATTTCAAAAAAAGAATTATGTTTTATTAAATTTTGATTGATTCAAAAGTGTGAAAATAGTTTATCACAAAACAATGTTTTTGTAGTTAAAATTTAAAAGTATTTTCATTTCTTGTTTCAGTTCAAAAAAATTGAAAATACTTTTTTTAATATATACGAATATATTTTTTCTTAAAACATAAGAAATAAATAACTTGAGATCTAGATCGCATAATCTACCATTATAAAAGTCATAAACTAATGTTTGAATTCAATGGTCGCATTGTTTGCGTGAGTGGTGTTGTTAAACAAGTTCATTTTGGTGACAACACCTTTTCTTGCTTGCGATTGGATCCTAATCTCCCTCGTCAACGATCATTAAAATCATTGATCTCAAACCATTATTACGATCCTGAAATTTTCGTGTTAATATCAGTGTCAAACCTAAATTATTGCAGTCACATTTACTTGCTAGCAAATGATAATGCCATGACCATTAATAGACATTTTAACGTCTAAATCTTGTAGTAATATTTGTTAACACGTATGTCTGGTTTAGGAAAAAACATTTAAAAAATTAATAGATATAAAATCAAGACATTGACAAATGTTAATTAATAGCTGCTTCTTTTCAGAATATAATTCTATTCCAGTGATAATTAAATAGTAGATAAAACCACTGCATGATAACAACATGACACCTAGATTATTGACTCTTAATAAAATCGGTTTACATCTAAACCACACATTAGATATACCAAAGCAAATGTAACTAAGAAAGAAAACGAAAACAGCTAAGTAATGTAATTAAGGAACCTTAACATATTCGAATTTATGCGTTAATCAGTCGTATTCCTGAAGATGAATACAGAAGAAGTGAGCTAGGCTGTACTTGCCAAAGTGAAAGAAGCTGCCTTTAAGCTTCTTCTTCTGCTTCTTTCCCTGAACTCTGTACCAGAAAAAGTATGACACTTTCAAATTTAAAAATATATAAAAAAACAATATTAAAGTGTTTAACTAAGAAAAAAAAAGATATTTTGCAAATCAAAAATGAAAGATATCCTTGCTACCTGTGCCACCGCCCTCTCTCTCTACAGACCATAGAAATAAGAAACAGAGAGATAAAAAAACAAAACACAAGTATTGAGCGTGTTTTATTAGTGTCCCTCTCTCTCTCTCTCTTTGTCCTAGCAACAACCGACTTTATTACACTATATACCCCTCTTCTTATCATCTCTTTTCTTCACAAAGGAGAAAAGAATAGCTGAGAAAGAAACTCTCTCTCTCTCCTTGTACACAGAGCTTTGTCTCTGAAAAAAAACCCACAAATTCTAAGAGAAATTATGAATAAACAAGATGTTATGAAGCTTCAGGTACACGTCTCCTTCTCTTCTTGTCTCTCCCTCCAAGATTGGTGTATATTACTCTGCTAATTCTGTTGACTGTGATTTGTCTTTGGTTGCAGACTTGTGTTCTGAAAGTAAACGTACACTGTGAAGGATGTAAGCATAAAGTAAAGAAACAGTTGCAGAAAATTGAAGGTGTGTGTTCTTACTCTCTCCCCCTCTTAACATATCTTCATTTCTTTGAGGGGGAAGCTTTTTAAGGCCATTTGAATTGTTAATTTGGTGAAACTAATATTAATTAAACATAGTTGTCTGAGATACATAAAGTGAGCTTCTCAGAAACCATGGATCTGTTAGTTGTTAAGTTTCAGTTCATACTGTATATGTTTTTTTAAAAAAAAAAAAATTGAACTTTGTCATATCTCACATCCAAAGTTTAATAATTTTCCAAGACAATGAAGTCCAAAGTTACTAAATTTACCATCTGAACTACTCTTTTTACATTTTTCACAAGAATTACATAAAACATTCTTAGAATTGCTTGGAATGATCTTGACATAAAAAAGTTCCTAAATTTATTTATAAAGTTCAAAGTTTTGAGATTTACTGTGACTCAACGTGTCGGCAAGATTCTGACATGGGTTTTGGTTTCTTGTGTTTTGAAAACAGGGGTGTATTCCGTAAAAGCAGATGTAGAACAGGGGAAAGTCACTGTCACAGGAAACGTTGACCCAGCTATCCTCGTTAAAAAGCTTAGCAAATCAGGAAAACATGCCGAGATCATAGGCGGTGGAGGTGGAGGTGGAGGTGGAGGTGGAAAAGGGTTTCCTAATCTGAATGGGCAATTTGGTAATCTCAACATGAATGGAGGAAAAGGTGGAAAAGAGGTTAAAGGGAAACCTAATGGTGGAGGTGGTGGTGGTGGTCAGAGTCATGGACATGGTGGTCAACCAATGCAGTTGACTCCTCAGCAGATTCAACAAATGATGATGATGAAGGCTGCTCAAGCTGGTGGTGGTGGTCATGGCGGGAAGGATATGAAGATGATGATGCCTCCTGTGGCGTCTAAGGATCAGAAGAAGTCTGTTAAGTTTGCTGAAGAGGAGGATGATGAGTTCAGTGACGATGATTATGATGATGAGTTTAGTGAGGATGATTATGATGACGATGAGTTTGATGATGAGGATGAGGATGATGATATGGGGGGACATGGTCATGGAGGAGGTGGTAAGCATCACATGCCTCCTAATAAGATGATGATGATGCCTAACAAGATGCCTCAAATGGGTGGTGGTGGTGGAGGGCCTAAGGGACATAATGAGATGATGATGATGATGAATGGTTTCAAAGGCGGTGGTGGTGGAGGAGAGGGGAAGAAAGGTGGCGGAGGAGGTGGTGGTTTTGAGATTCCTGTTCAGATGAAGGGAATGGGTGAGGGTAAAATGGGGAAAGAAGGCAAGAAAGGAGGTAAAGGAGGAGGAGAGAAAGATGATAAAGAAGGGAAAAAGAGTAAAGGAGGTGGGGGTAAAAATGGAAAATCAGATGCCAAAAGTGGTGGAGGTGGTGGTGGCCTGCTAGGGTTTTTCAAAAATGGTAAAAGTGGGAAAGGAGATGAGAAGAAAGGAGGTGGTAAGAAAGAAGGCGGTGGTGGGGGTGATAAGGTCAAATCATCCGGTGGTGGGGGAGTTCATCATTATGATAATGGTCCTAAAAAGGGTGGAGGTGGGTCAAAAGGAGGAGGACATGGGTCCCATGATATTGATGAGCTCATAAAACATCACAAAGCAGGAGGAGGAGGAGGTAACAAGGGTAATAATCATAGTGCTAAGGGAATGGGTGGTCCAATGGGTCAAGGTGGTCCAATGGGTATGATGGGTCCTCAAGGAGGTCAGATGGGTATGATGGGTCAAGGTGGTCAAATGGGTATGATGGGTCAAGGTGGTCCAATGGGTCCAATGGGTCACCAAGGTGGTTCTTACCCGGCGGTTCAAGGGTTACCGATGAGTGGAGGCGGAGGATATTACCAACCACCACCTCAGGCAAGTCATCAAATGAACCAACAACAGTATATGCAAATGATGATGCATCAGCAACAACAGCAGCAACAACAACAAGCTGCAGCTCAAGGAGGATATGGTGGTGGTCATGGTGGAGACATGTACCATCCAATGATGTATGCTCGACCTTATCCGTCAGTGAACTACGCTCATCCACCGCCAATGCCGCCACCACACTCGGATTCTTATACTCATATGTTCAGCGATGAGAATCCAGGTAGTTGTAGTATAATGTAATCGTATGTAATGTTTTAATTAGAAAAAACCGGATATGAATATGTTTGTCTTAGATGTCTTTATGTTTTTTTTTTTTTTTGGGGATGTCTTTTTCTTTTAAGACTCTTTGAGGATTGGAAACAAAATGTGCTTTAATTTTGTTAGTGGAATGATGTTTATAATATCTCTTGAAGATATCTACTTAGATTTGCTTTTCTTTGTGTGAAAAGGATTGGCAAGCCGCCTCTACAGTTTGGTACACGAGCACTAACATGTATAGTGTGCCACTAACTTTATGTACACACTACACACAATAGATTAAAATTTGACCCACACAAAACCAAATCCGTGAGAGATTTGTGAATTGATTATGATGTTTTCTTTTATAAGAAAGTGTGGACAAAATCTTTCAGAATTAGGCATGGTGTTTCTATCAAAATAGTGTTCTCCAAAAGAGAAGTGCTTACCAAAAGTGAAACGAGTAACCACATCAATAGTATGGTAGCAGAAAACGTTGGGTCCTTATTACCTTAAACAACTTATGCGAGATTCTCACAAAGACGGGCTTTCAAATGAAGAATTAATAATTTACTAACCCATTGGGCCTTATAAGTAACATGAGTAGACCCAAACTAAATCCCGGTTTAATCAATCACTCATCTCATTTGCAGTCAACTATACTAATAGTCAAATTCATTAGTTTGAACCGGAACAAAAAGGTATTCTTAGACCGAGATTTTCGGTTTGCATTCCGGTTTACGAAGTAGAAGATCATACGTGTCTCGACCAATCACATTACAGCAATTAGAGAATTAAATAGATTAATATATATAAACGAAATAAATAAAAATAAAAACGCTCGTCGTCGTCGTCTTCCTCTTCTGTCACTTCTTCTTCTTCCGGTGATCGATCGATAATCACAATGCATTCGTTTGGATACAGAGCAAACGCTCTCCTCACGTTCGCCGTAACTGCCCTCGCCTTCATCTGCGCAATCGCCTCACTCTCAGACAAATTCAGCAACCAGAATCCCTCTGCTGAGATCCAGGTAAAGAAAAAATGTATCGATCTTCTCCGTATGTGTGTGTGTGTGATGGATCTGCTTATGAATGGTGTGATCTTCGTTTGTTTTTGATGTGAGGAACTTAAAAATGAAAATATCTGAAGTTGTTTTTTTTTTTAATGGATGTATTTTGGTTTGTGCAGATACTTTACATCAAGAGGTTTAAATCTTATGGTAATGATGAGGTAAAGTCTCCATCTTTTATCTTTTTACATAGGTTTTTATGAATTGCTCAAGTTAGTGTTTAAAGCTTTTGAATTTGATTAATATAAATCACAGGCGATTTTTGAATCTGGTTTCTATATATCATTTAGCTTTTATACATAGTGAGTGTGCTTGCTGAGTGAATTTTACATTGTCATGCAGGTTAGCTTGACATTGGACATAAATGCAGATTTGCAGTCACTGTTTACTTGGAACACCAAACAGGTTTTAATAACATTCTCAAAACATCTAAAGAGTTCTTGTCTTTTTTACTATTACTTGTAGAAATTGCACTGCTCTTGCTTGACATTCGTTTTATGAAAAATGGTTGTAGGTTTTCGCTTTCGTGGCAGCGGAATACGAAACCCCAAAGAACTCCCTGAATCAGGTATACTATTGTAGTCCACACTTTGTTTGAATGCAAAGGCTCAGAAAGTCTAGGGACGAGTTGTGGATAATATTGACATTTCTTTTGCAGGTTTCTCTATGGGATGTGATTATCCCTGATAAGGAACATGCCAAGTTCCGGATTCAAACCTCAAACAAGTACCGTTTCATTGATCAGGTACACTACAACAAACCTTCCCACCAAGTCTACTGCATCTTTACTTCTTCAGAACCTGAAAATTGGATTGATAATTGTTTGGGATCTTTCAGGGACATAATCTTCGTGGGAAAGAGTTCAACTTGACGTTACACTGGCATGTCATGCCCAAGACCGGCAAGATGTTTGCTGACAAGATTGTCATGCCTGGTTACAGCTTACCAGATGCATACAAATGATGAAAAAGACTGAAGATACCATCTAAAGAGTTTTTGAATTTCGTTTTTTTCATGGAATGGATTCAGACTTTCTTTTATAATGTAAAACTACTATTTGATCTGTTAGATTCTTTTTTTTCTAAATAGAAAAAAATAAAAGCAGAGGATCCTAATAGTTTTACAAAGTTGTTTCAACATAACTATGAGCTAAAACTTTAGCTATTCTTTTGCTATTCATTGATTCTCTAACTAGCTTCACATCACTCCACCGTCCAGCTCTAGCATATATATTAGAAAGTAGAACGTAGATTCCACTACCAAGTTCTTCTGATTCACTTGCTACAGATCTTATTCTATCAGCCAGATCGAAATTCTCATGAATCTCACAACCATTCAACAATGCACCCCAAACATTAGCATTAGGTTGAACAGGCATAGTCTTTACCAATCCCTCTGCTTCTTCAAAACAACCAGCACGGCTCAAGATATCAACCATACATCCATAGTGTTCAACCGTTGGTTCTATACCATAAACATCTCTCATTTCCGCAAAGTATCTTCGTCCTTCCTCCACCAAACCTACATGGCTGCACGCATATAACACCCCAACAAATGTGATTCCATCAGGTTTAGCATTACCTTCCTTTTGCATTCTCTTGAACACACTCAACGCTTCATTCCCGTGACCGTGACTTGCTAACCCAATGATCACAACTGTCCAAGCTATTGTATCTTTCTTCTCAAGATCTTCAAACGCTCTCTTTGCACTCTCTGCGTCTCCAGTTTTAGCATACATATTCACAAGCGCACAAACTACAGCAGCATCCTTCAAAAATCCCGTTTTCAATACATAACCGTGAACCATTTGTCCCCATTGTGAGCATCCTTGAACCATGGAAGAAGCTCTTATCACACTCAAAAACGTTACTTTATCAGGAGAAACACCCAAACCAATCATATCCAAAAACATACGCATTGCCTCCTCTGCATCACCGCTCTGACTATACCCAGTAATAATCGAATTCCAAGAAACCAAGCTTCTCTTAGGCATTCCATCGAACAGATACCTCGCAGTTCTCAACTCTCCACATTTCCCATACATATCAACAAGACTAGTAGCCAATATCACATTAAAATCATCCTCTGACTGTAAAAACGGATCAAAGCCTAACTCTTTAAGAACCCCATGAAACCATTTCCCTCTCTCAATATCTTTACATCTCCCACAAGCAACAAGAAGATCAACCATTACCATCTCATTAACCTCCACACCATGCCTCTCCATCTCATTAAACACCTCAATAGCCTCCCTAAACCTATTATTACTCACAAAACCAGACACCAAACTCCCCCAAGCAACAACATTCCACTTAGGCACACCTTCAAAAACCCTCAAACCAAACTCCACTTCACCACAACACATATACATATGAACCAAACAAGTGGAAACATACATATTCACAACAAAACCTGTTTTCACAACAAACCCATGAATACAACTCCCAAACTTAACATCCCTTAAAACAGAACAAGCTTTAAACACATAAGGAAACGTGAAGTAATCTGGAGAGTACCCTTTCCCAACCATTTCTTGGTAAAAGGTCAATGCTTTGTATTGGTTTTGACTGTTTGCATAGCCTCTGATCATAGAGTTCCATATGTACACGCTTGGGGAATCGATGGTTTCGAAAACTGATGACGCGTAGGTGAGATTCAGTGTCTCTGGGGAGGTGGTGCAGAAGTCTATGAGACGGCTTAGAGGGATGATGTTTTTGATAACAGAGGATTTGATCATGAGGGCATGGAGTTGGTTTAGTTCCAACATTGTTCTGCATTTCTCAAGTTGGGAGAGAATTGTTTTGTAATGTTTCTTCATCTGTAACAAACTCATCAAAAAGCTTACACCTTTATAAATTGGGTAAAGTTTTGAACTTTAAATAGTTATAGGGTTAATGTTTTATTTTTAAAGAGTTTAAGGGTTTTATTGCAATTTACCCAAATATATATATTAATAAAAGATGTTGTTCGGTTGCTACCGGAGAGAAGCGTGAGTTATGTCGGCGAAGGAGATCGCTGTCGGGAGCAGTTCAATCAACGGTGGAGATCCATGTCCGATTTGCCTTGGACCCATACTCCAAGAATCTTATCTTGATACTTGTTTCCGTAAGCTTCTCTCTCTCTTAATCTGGTTAAGCTCTTTGTGTATGTATCTGAGAGATAGGTTCATGGTTTAGGGAATAGCTAATTATTTTTTTGAAACACTAAAATAGCTAATAGCTTATTGCAAGTTTGAGTATGCAAATAGATTGAAAAGTATGTTCCTTTTGTCTTTTTTGCAGACAAGTTTTGTTTCAGATGTATCAAACAATGGATTAAAGTAGTTTCAAGCAAGGTTACAAAGCAGTTGTCTTCTGTTAAATGTCCTCTCTGTAAGGTTTGGTTTTATTGAAAACGGTTTTTTTTTTATGAGTAGTATAGCTTTAAACACTTGTTTACAGGAATGACTATGACAATGTGCAGACGGATAATATCTCAATCATACACAACTTCGATGGGCACTCTTTTGACCGGCATTATGTTGACCCTAATACTACAGATGGGTAAGTTCCTGTTCTTGTGTGAATGTTTTTGATATCAAGCTTGATCTCATTGTCTGAAAAAATTAGTGCTTATCTACATCTTCTTTGTGCAGCTTTGTCTTAACAAAAGAACAGAGATATAGATTGCAATGTTACTACACCGAGTCAGGTTTGTAGCTTCATTCCTCTAACAATGTAACTGGTTAAGCTTTTTATTCATGATTTTAAACAAACGTGCGTGTGAACTGGTTACAAGAATTGGATCTGTTGCCTGATTTAGTTTGGAATATGGCTTATGTAACACACTTATCAGTAGAGTAAAATGTGTTCTGTCTGGTCAATAAAGAATGCTAAAGTTTTCCGTTTCTTCTTTTTTGATACTATTAAGCAGGTTTATTGGCGGATGTGTTTGACGTTTCTCGGTTTTGGAAACTGAAGAACTTACTCCAGCCAAATAAATGGCTTGAATCCTGGTTAAGAAGGGAGCTTCAAGCTCTGATGCAGGTGCGCGCTTGCATTTCCTTTCATGTATCCTTCCTTCTTTGTGCTGTTATCTAATTGATCAGTTGCTTACAACAATCATTTGCTTTTATTATAGGAGGAGGATGTTGATATTGTTCTGCATCATCTAGCCGGTGTATTGGATTCTTTCTGCAAAAGGTAAAACTCTTGGATCAAGTTTCTTTTTGTTTTGGCTTAAGGCTTAATTGATCATCAAAGTAGAAGTGTTATCTCTTGCTTTAAGATGTAAATTAAAATCACCATTAATCTTCTTTCTTTCAGAACCGAACAGAGACACAAGCAAGAAACAAGAAGCACAGAGACCTTCCAAGAACAGTTCAAATCAGTCATGGCAGAGGCGGCTCGTCCCTTTTTAACGGCGAGAACAGACCGGTTTGTGGATGAGTTAGAACTCTTCCTAGCATCAGGGATAAACAGAGACGCTTACGACGCAGTTTATAAGCAGAGATTAGATAAGAACAACTCAAGAGAGATCAGTGTAGCTAATGAAGCAATAGAAGAAGAAGAAGAGAACAGAAGAACAAGAGTTCCTCCTAGCTTGTTGCTCCTTTTTGAGGAAGACTCTGACTAAGGCAATGTAAAGGAAACACACAACTCATAGGGCTTCAAGTGTCTTGTACTGATTACATGTGTATTGATCTGTGCTTTACTTGTGTGTAAAGTTATCGCCATTGCCCTCACAAAACCATTTATTCAGACATTTTTTTACATTATTCATTATACAACAAACACATTTTACTATATTACTTTATAAAAACCATCCATAGTAACCGAGAGAACCTCTTAGACAAGCTCAAGCGTTCACGATAAGACCACCTGCACAAAATAGCGTTTGCGTTAACAGTAACTCACAACAAAGACTAATACATAACACACTTTTGATTAGAAACTTACCGTTTGGATGAAGGATCTGGCCAGTGTAGTAAGAAGAGCAATGTTCACAAGCCAAGAAGACGTAAGAAGGAGCAACTTCCACAGGCTGAGCAGCTCTTTTCATCGGTGTCTCTGACCCGAACTGTTTGATCGCTTCTTCAGAGAAGGAAGCTGTTATAAGTGGAGTCCACACCGGACCTGGAGCTACTCCGTTGACACGTATCCCCTTTGGTGCAAGCTGAAGAGCTAACGCACGTGTGAAGGAAACAATAGCTCCTTTAGTAGAGGCGTATTCTAGTAAACTTGAGCTTCCTGCGTATGCAACAACCGACGTCGTGTTGATGATACTGCCTCCTTCCTTCATGTGCTTCAACGCATACCTATACATACAGTAAAGATTATATAAATTAACAAACTAATAATGGTGAGACTTTAATACCTTATTAATCAAAAGATTATTAATTTATAGATTTAGTTTTTAAAAAGTCTATTTTAAAATATGTTTTATGTAAAAATTAGAATTCTACTTGTTTTTACCATATATTTATTACTCTTTTCGTTTCCATTTATATCTATTTATATGTCATGTTTCAATTTATATATGTTTCAATTTATGTCATTGTAAAAAAAAAATTTTGTTTCAAAATAAGTATATATTTTTATATTTTTTTATTGGTTAAAATGTGGTTAGGCGTATACATAATAATATTTTTATTTTGAAAATATATTAAATATATTTTAATTTGTGTGTAAAAACTTAAAATGAAACGGAGGGAGTAAATCTTATAGATACAAATTATATGATGTTTAATTTGCTATATAGAAAATAGGTATTGCATTTTAAGTGGAAAATTAAAAATAATACTAAGGAAAACCTTCAAAATACAAAACTATATGATATATTATTCATGTTTATTTAATTCCTATAAATATTATGTAAATACTTATTAATTTATGCTTATATTAGTACTATATATATTTACGTGAAAAAAAATCCAAAAAAATTATTATCATATCGCCATAAATACATCAGTCCTCGAGTTAAACTCGAAACTGTATTAACTAGTTAATCCGATCATTAACCAAACCACTTCCCTTAATTCATGTAGTTAACTTACTTGGCCAAGAAAAACTGAGAGAAGATGTTGGTACGAAACACTCTCTCAAGCCTTGACTCATCGATCTCATCGATGGAAACCTCGTGCTGCTCAGCTGCACAGTTTACAAGCACATCGATGCGTCCAAAGGCGTTTACGACTTCATCAACGGTCCTCTTGCAATTCTCTTCGAACCCTAAATCCGTAGCGATCATGATGGGCTCTTTAGCTTCCTTAGTCTTGGCCTCGTGAAGCAAACGCAGAGTTTCGTCTGCGTCTTTGTCCTCTCGGCCTTTTATGTAAGTGAAAGCCACGCTCGCTCCTTCAAGCGCGTAGCAGTGACACACTGCTTTACCTATCCCTGAGTCTCCTCCTGTCACTAGCGCCACTTTTCCCTGCCAAAAGTAAGTACCTTGTTATACAAGCATACTATTGTTAGTGTATAACGTTTATTCACTCTACTAAATGTAAACATAAGTTTTTGCTTTTATAATTATTAAAACATTGCCTGAGACACAAAACAAAGTTTTATTTAAATATGTTTTTGTAGAATTAAAAACAATCTTTCTTGTTTTATTATTTATTTAAATATGTTAAGTAAACATAGACACAAAAAGCTAATTACATGGAGTTTGTTAGAGGGTTTGTAGTTAGGGCTAGAGAACTGTGGAGTTGGATCCATAACATGTTGAACCCCTGGTTGTGTCTCTTGTTTCTGCGGTGGAAACCCACTAGCCATTTCTCTTTTTTTCTTTCACTAAAACTTTCCAGGATTTTGTGTGTTTGTGTATTTGGTGACTGAGAAAGTTGATCCAAACAAATAAGCGAGAGAGAACGAGTTAAAGCCATGAAGCATTTTGAAAGATGTACCACGTTGGATCTTATATTGTTTGACATGTGGAAAGTTACTTCAACGGTGTAGCGAAAGAGGAGTCCACGTTGTGAAGATGAGTTTATTTGGATAACCATTAGTCCCATTTGAAGATATATACAAACTTGCATGGAACCTAGCCAGTTGCAAGAAAAACACAAAATGCTTATTTGGAACTTATAGTTGGAGAAAATATTCATAAATATATTCGCTTATTTATAAAGATTGCTCCATTATATTTATGAGTTTTGAATAACATATAAAATGGGATGGATTCAAGAAAGAGATACAAGAGCTAATTTTCACAGCTCACTATATTTTACTTTACGTATATATTAGCTTGTAATTTGCACATAGTTCTGTTGACATTTTGATATGATCTTAAACAATAGAGATTAAATGGATAAATTATAAAAATGAAAGAAAAAAAAACTATATCCATATTCTTTTCCCTTGGGTTCTATTGACAAATGTCTCAACTCTGTTTTGGCTTAGCTCTACTTTCTCATTCACCGTTGTTCACGTGCCCTCTACACCTTGTAAGTGTTTCCAAGTTTCTTTAGCAGAAAGATTAAGCTGCATTTCACTCAGATTCCAGAGTCTATTGATTCTTGTTAACATTCATGGGAATGATTAATAATCTGATTAAGAGAGCTTCTCCTCAAGGTTCAATCAAGAAATCTTCAAAGGTAGCAAGTGACTGTAATCTCTGACCCAGTGAAGCAATAGTTCTCTGGCACTCTGCAAATTTTGAGGCAGCCACTGCTAATTCCTTCTCCTGTAATTGCCACATTGTCACAAAAGAGTCTTATAACATATGGTACATGGAAGGTGTTATGTAATATTGCATAGAGATGACAAGAGAGTCTTACCTGCTTTAGCTTATAATCGTCATCAAAAGCTCTCACATGGTTAGGCTCATGCTCTCCTTCTTGATGATGCTCAAGTTCACGTTTTAGTTTTGAGATCTCATCTTGTAGTTCTTCACACTTTGAAATGTGTTTTGCTGATAAAACACGTTCCTTTTCAATACTCTCTTCCAGAGATTCGAGTTTCAAGATCAATGATTCGGCTTCTGCTTCCACATCTTTGAGTCTTGACTCAACCTCTTCTGCTTTCGCATTTGCAGCTTTTACACCATCCTCAGCAGCTTCTTTTGCATCCTTTGTTAGACGCAGCAGAGTTTGAACCTCTATTAACTTTCTCTCTGATTCCTTAAGCCGACTTTGCGTTGTCTCGAGCTGCTTCTTTGTCCCATTTAAACATATGGTCAGTTCCAGCTTTTCTGCTCTTATAGTCTCTAGCTCTGATAGATTCACTTGTGCTTTGTTTAGCTGCTTCTGAAGATCCTGAATTTGACTTCCAGATTCACTCAACAACAGCTCTAGATCATTGTTTTCTGCTCTTGTGGTCTCTAGTTTTGACTTATCCACTTGTGTTTTGTTTAGCTGTCTTTGAAGATCCTGAATCTGCTTTCTAGATTCATCCAATGACATCTCAAGATCTTGCGTTCTTGGTTCCAGTTTCTTCAACTTGGATAACTTCTCCTCTGTCTCCATCAGTTGACTCTGTAGTGTCTCCACTTGCTCTTTGGATTCATTCATTGCCATCTCCAACTGCAGTTTCTCAACCTCTACCATCTCTACTTTCTCCTCTAACTCAGAAATCCTGTGAAGTGAGTTTTCAAGTTCATGTTTTAGCTTCCTTGACTGTGCATCAGGTTTACTCTCTGAATGTTTTCTTCCAGGTTCAGAATGCGGCATAGAAGCTAGCTTCTCCATCTCGAGAAAATCATCCATTAAACCGATATCTACTGAAGGAGCCATCGAAGACTTGCCAATAGACCTCTGAGTAGGACTCTGCACTTCATTATCACCAAAAGAGATCCTCCCTGAGTAGTCTGATTGAGTATCATTTGACTTGGCAGATCTCTGAACCATGACTCTCAGTTTCCTGCACTCTGCTTCGAGTTTGGTCAATTTTTTAATCCCTTCCAACTGTTGTTTACTAGCAGATTCAGCAGCTTGAGTGCTCAAGTCTCTCTCAAGAGTTCTTATCTTAACCTCTTCTGATTTTGAGAGTAGTTGTAGCTTCAAAGCTGAGTTCTCTTTCTCTAAAGCCTCGAGTTTCGGGTGAGGTGAAGCTGAAGCAGTAGTAGCATCTTCTTCTTGTTTTCTAGTTTGAAGTCTTGCTTGAAGCTCCTTGATTTGGGATTCAAGTTCAGATTTTGTAGCTTCCCACTCTGAGCATTTCTTGTTTATAGCTTCTTCAATCTTCTGGTTTTGCTCTTCTCTTCCTTGCCAGAGTTGTCTCACACATTCTTTAAGTGCACTATCAAGATGAGTATTTCGATCCTCTAGAGCTGAGACCTTGGTTGCAGAAGCATCAAGCTGTTGCTTCAGAGCCGCAGCTTCGTTCTCTGCCTTCTCCCAACCAGCGACAGCTTCCTCTGCAACTTTAGCATGCTGCTTGGCAAGGTCGTCTTTTAAACTGACATTTAAAAGAGCTGCAGAGAGCCTCTCCGTTAGAATCTTGATATCCGCCGTTGCCTCTTCTTCTTCTTCAACTTCTTCTCTTGTTACAGGTTTAGATATTAATTCCGGTGAGTGAGATCTCTGATTTTCACACATCAAAACCATAACACAAAAGTTAATGCAAATGTGAACACATGTACAAAACAATTAATCTTCTCATAGTTTCAGTCACATACGAACATAAAGATAACAAGCAGAAACCATAGCAAAATCTTATCATGTTCTCACAGTAACTCCAATGATAGATGGAGTCAACGATCAAACAAAGGCATTGCCAGAAACAGATCAAAATGACACAACAGTACCAAGGTTCCTGAAGATGTGAACATAAACAACAACTAGTCTCAACCATTTAAAGAAGAAACCATAACAAAATCTACCAAGTTCTTCAGAAAAAGACAGTAAATCCATTGATCAAGGTGGGCAACAGCAAAAGAGACAGAGGGAAGAACAAAGAAAGACACATTGCTACATAAAGCTCAAAACTTTCAATTCAGGGAGCCAAGAAAGAAAAGAGAAAGTTAGTTACCTGATCGTCTGAGAATCTTTCAGAATGGGAAGAGAGTGAGCCTGTACTCTCTGTTTCTCCAGGACTTTTCTCAGAAGACTTCCTCCGCCATAACCAGCTCCTCCTGTCCATCTCCTCCACACCCACCAAACATTCAAACACAATTCATCTGCCCCCAATACAAAAATAAAAACAAAGCCTTTAACTTCCCAATAAATAAAAGAAGAAATTTTCTGTTGAGCTCACTTACAATTCACTCTCTGACAAAAAAAATCAATTTTCCCCCAACTATAAAATTCACCAAATGTTTAATCTTTTTTAATTTATTTTGGTTTGGAGAAAGCGTAGGAGCAGGTGATGGAGATTGATTGCTTGAGATGTAAAAGATGAACAAACTCAGAAACGTAACAAGATACCTAACACCAACACCACCAATACAACATACCTCAAATCTCACGCCACAAAGAAATAATTGAAGGGAAATGAGATTAGTGTGTGAATCTGGCTATCATATTCAACGTCCATGTTCACAAAAGAAACACACAGATTAATTAAAATTTAAAAAATAAAAGGAAAATTTTAAAAAGTGGAAGTCTCGATGATTGAGACCCACCACATGATGGTAATAATGTGTAGAGGAGGAAATCTGAATAAACGCCAAGTAGCTATTTACTTGTCCTTTTTAATTATTTTTTAAAGAGTTATCCGTAGAGAAAATTCGCCATTACTATTACAGCCAAACACTTAAAAACAACAAAGAAAAAAAAAAGCCTATTGGAGAGAATAATAATTATCTGCAAATTTAATTTCAATTACAAAAATAGGATAGAAAAATTTTAATATGTTATTGACGTAATGTAAGTAGAAGAAGAGGAATAATTTGCAAAAAACTGTCAGAGTTTTCCAGTGAAGAAGATCGCCGTATCCATACAAATTTTACGATTGGTTGAACAAACATGTTTTTCTCGTGTCAGGGATTTGTAGGCTTTGTCTTTTCACATTGTTCGTTCTGAGACACATACATAATCAAACAAATCGATTTTATTATTCTTACACTGTTTTCTACAAAGTAAACCATGCAAGGTTCTCAAATCTCAACTAAATTATTGTAATGGAATCTCTGAGGAGGTCAAAACGTTAATGGATGGATCTACAGATTATCAAAAAACATCATTACCTTTTAGTTTATATAAAGAACAATGGTCTTACAAGTTTGTACGAATTATACGGTGACAGTGAACAGATAAAGCTTCAGCACAACCGCAAGCCCCAACTGCAATCGAAAGATGCTTGCGATGATCAGTACTGATCTCTCTCCAGCGGAATTGATATGCGCTTTGAGGTTCAAAGCAACAAATGTTGCAGACATGAACCCTGCTACACCTGCGATGACCCATCTGAAGATCTCCACTGGCACGACTGATAGGCACTGCAGAGAGACAAACAGGTAAGAAAGATGTCAAAGTCTGATCCTATCATATTCAGATGTTTCGAAGGATAAAATTTGGTACCAATGCAGGGATGAAGATGAACAGGGAATAGCCGTAGAGACAGAAGAGCTGGACTAGGCCTGACGGTGCAGAGAAGTATTTGAGAACGACATATAAAGCGAGAGGAATTTTCGTGACATAGCCATAGAACACTCCTGCAGACCAAGTGACCAGATTAATATCGTAGTTCCATTCTTGTTTCTTCCATTTGTGTGCTACGTATGTTACAAATGAGCCACGAATATCAAAGTTGTGCATATCCAGAATGGACCATACCTGCAAAAAATACAAACTCAATTAATCTCATCTGAGTTACGTTGGAGCAGGCTGAGAAACCAAAGACTACAAGTCTTACAAGTCAGGCTTATCAGCAGTCTTCTAGTTCCACGGAACGGGAAGAGAGATTCTTTGAGTCTGTCCACAACATCAGAAGTGTCGACATCAAAGAATGGCTTGTAAGCACCAACAGTAAATTTATGGAGCCAGCCACCAGACTGTGTTTCATCTATACTACCATTACCAGGTCCAGAGAATGTATCTGCACCAGTATAACACAAGAACATACCAAACTATTAAAGACTAACCAACATGAAGCAGTCAAAAACGTTTCCACATTAACTAGATTAACATCCTAACTAGTACATTAAAAACGTTTCCACATAATACCATCACGAGGGGGATTACTACCACCAGAGATCTTGCCCTGAGTAGCAGACGGAGGAAAGGTTTGAGAAGATTTGATTCTGCAAAGACAACAACAATCATAGCTCAACATGAAACATAACCATTTTCAATGGTAAATACATTTGCAAACTATAAGATTCCTCTTTCTCAGTTTTCATTCATCTTCTATTCACTAAACTCTGTATAAACATTCAAAATCCATAACACTTGTTTACAAAATGAACTGTTCTTCTTTAGCTACAATCCTAAGGGCATCCATCTAATGACTTAGTTCCAAATCAAATTTCAAACGCTCTATCTATCATATTCACCTCAGAAACCGAGAAATATCAGAGAATGGGGCAATGTTACCTGCGAATTTGACGGTGGAGTGACGTGGATCTGGAACAGACTACGATTAACACACATACGAAACTATATCAGATCGGAGGAATCACTCTATGGACGAGTACACACGTGAGATCGTGAGAAAGCGCAAATCGAGAAAGAAGGAACTTACAGTGTACAGATCCAGAGACTTTTTGGCTGTCGTCGTCGATCGTCGTGTAGTTCCCGCCGGTCATCATCTTTCTCTCCTCCTCTTCCCGCCTTCCCGATCTTCCGTCTCTCTCTCTCAAATCGGAATTTGGGCCTTTGAAACTAACACTTTCCGGCCCAATGGGTTTTGAAGGGAACCAGAGCGTAACCTTCTCCCGCATTTAGAAGCTTCGTCCCATTACATGTTCTAGTATCATGTACTTACTATTTGTTTTTGGTTTTGCCTCACTAAGCCTTAAAGCTTCATATTACTAATCCATGTTTGTTGCATTGATTTCTCCTTGATCATCCGTAGCAATGCTTAGCTTAGAACTATAAAATCTTGGAATGTCAGTTAAATAAAGAACAAAACAAAAACCCTCCTATTAAATGAAAGACGCCATCACATATAATCAAAGTTTACAAAAGGTTTTAGTTATTATTACAGAGACATAATATTTGGAAACAAATTTTAAAATTAGTAAACATCTCGTTTTATTCTGAAATTCTGATACTTGTTGTTAGTTGTGTATGCTTAATTGTAACTTAATTGCGATTCTGTGAGTTGTGTAGAATGTTTCTTATAACTTAACGTGTGTATCTCGATTGTCCAAAGGCTTATTATGTTAACTTGATTGCTATAGCTAGTGCCTATTTTATATGAAGATTCTCATATTGTTTTAGATGTTTCTTAAATTGTTGTTAGTTGTAATATGTTTAACTAGGGATTAATCCGCGCTACGCGCGGACCTATTTAATTTTCAAATGTTAACTATTTTATTTTTGAAACACAACTTGCATAAATTCATAAACTCAAAGGTAGGTGTTGATAGATGTTGTATATTTACCAGCCTTGCATTATTATTTATTTCAGAATACAAAATGTATTCACATATTTACTTATTATTTATTTTACT